AGAACCTGGGTATAAATAAATAAAGAAGTGGAACCCATACAAAGAAAAAGATTAAAAACAAAAAAGCCAAAGATGGAACCTTTGTACTTGGCCTGGGTGGGGATGGCAGCGTGTCGGGGGTTGCTTCCAAGTGGCCGGGTTCCGTCTCCAGTCTCTTGCTCCCCTGCGTGCCGGTAGTGCCACGCGGGAGACGGGCCTCCGTGGTGCACCTTGCCGTCTCTGGGCGCAGGGCCGGGAAGACGCTGCTTCGGAAACGCACGGTGTCCCTTCGCTGTCGAGTGCTTGCTGTAAGCCAGCAGCTCTTCACGGTGCTCGTCCCTTCCCGGAAACTGAGGCGCAGAGCCATCAGGGGCGCCTAGCCCCGCCCAGCTCGTCCGTGGCCGAGCCGAGGTCCGGAACCGGCAGACGGGCTCCAGGGTTCCGAGCCCTTCGCCAGGCTGCGCCTCTCGTCACTTCGAGGCCCCCTGTGTGCAGGAGCCGCGTGAGCGCTGGTGGTGCGGATGGTCCGGAAGAGATGGTTCGGGGCTGTGTGACTTGAGCTGGGAAGAAAGGAGTCTGGGTGGATGTGGAGCACCCAGGAGGGCTTCCTGGAGGAGGTGGCCGGTAACTGAGGCTTGGCGTTTAGGCAAGACTGGGCCGGGGACAGTGACGTGTAAGACCAGGTAGAATCAGGTTCCGGCAGCCAGGACCCCGCAGCTCCCTCATAGACTGGTGAGGAGATGAGATGAACGAACAGTGTGGAAGGTGTCTGGCACACAGTAGGTGCTCAGGAAACGTTCCAGTGGCTCTCTCTCTTTACCAGTGACAGGACATTTACTGTGTTCCGAGGATGCAGGCTGGTGGCCCCTGACTGGCTCGCGGAATTTCAGTTGTGTGCTTCCATATATAAATTGGGAGATTCTACCCTAAACCCCAGATTTCCAGCTGTATTTGGAAACTCCTAAGATCTGGTGACTGCCCCCTGCTGCTGTGGACCGAGCGAGGAGTGGCCATCCCCAGCGTGGTACTTGCCCTCTTGAATGCTCTCCGGTGGCTCTCCTGACCTGGCCTCCCTCCTGGCATCCCCAGCCCCGTGTCCACTGTGTGGCCCACGCCGTGGATGTCACCACTGGGAGGTGATCTCTGCCGCAGTAGGAATGCGTTGGCATCGGCCTCCTCCTGGTCGGCTGTGGGGTTTGGTGTGGACGAGGGCATTCATCTCAAAACACGGGCAGACACTTGCAACGAATCCGCAGCCTCAGCACCGAGCCCAGTCCCTTTGTGCGCCCACACCCCTGTGCGCAGCCCCCAGACATCCAGAGCTGTGTCCGTGACTCAGGACAGCTGGGATTTCACATCTTTGAAGTGTTTCCCTTCTGGCATGTGCACCGGTACTTTAAAAACCAAAACATTCCTGGGTTAATGGAAAGCCAATTCAGCCGGCAGCCAGGGGGCCTTGGGGAAAAGCCGTGGTTCAAGAGGAGCCCTTCCTTCCAGTCGCTGGACTGACCTCAGAGGATCGTAATCAGATTTAGACCGAAAGCTCCTCAGCCACGTGCCCTCAGAGGACCCAGGCTGGGAGAGAGCAGAGTCCTGAAGAGGCATCCGTGAGCCCACCTGCGGTTCGGCCCTGATGTGGCCTCCACGTTTCGCGTCCAGCATCCAGCTCTGATATGTCATCCAGGTACTTTGCACAGAGTCCCCAAATCCCTTCTCTGGATTCTTGGCATCTTTCAAGGCCACATTCACTTGCCGCCGCCTCCAGGGAGCCTTCCATGGTTCTCCCTGGATGAGGGACCTCACCTTCCTCTTCATCACTCATCCCTGTTTATCTTCTCCTGCCCGTGCCCTTCACAGAGCTTGTCCCCTGAAGCAGGAGCTGAGAGTGTCCCCAATCTTATTTATTTCTACGAACCTCCCTGGAGGTAGGTGCTGCCGCCGTCCCCACATTACAGACGGGGAAACCGAGGCTTAGCAAGGGGAGGGGATTTGCTTCAAGCCGCACCCCAGCATGTGGCAAAGTGAGATTTGAACTTGGAGCTCTGTGACCGCAGACCCAGGCTCATCACAGCTGGCCGCTGGCCCTGTGGTCTGCCTGGGACCCCCTCCTGGCTCGGGGTCCTTGTGAACCTCAGGGCTTGACACATAAGCAGCCCCTTGGAACGTGCTGCTGAGCCAGAGCGCGGGCGGGTCTGTGGGAGCATTTCTCGTCGATTAGGGCCCTGGAATCCTGGGCCCTGTCTAGTGTTATCTTTGAAGTTCAAGGGCGGTGTGGAAATTGCTCCGTTTTCCTGTGACCCAGTTTCTGTGCTTTGAAATGCCGTCCCTTCTCCTTCCCCGACTCTCTGCCTGGAAGCGTTTTAGTCCCCTCGGCCCCTCCCACAGCCGCTCTGGCATGTGTCCCAGGTCACGGCTCACCTGCGTGGCCCACCTGCGTGGCCCACCCGCGTGGCCCACCTGAGCTCGCCGGCCAGACCCTCTGCTCCGGCAAAACCAGGGCTCTTGTTCTTCCCCCGCGGGGAACACAGCCGTCACAGCGTCTCCTCCGGACCCGCCGGGGCTGCTGCCCACACCCCTTCCACCCGCTCCCGCCCGCACCTTCGTACACGGGAGACTGTGTGGAGAGAAACACCCTTTTCCTCCTTCCCTTCCTGCCTTTGAAAACTCTTCTGGTTAAAAACTCTGTAATTCATTATGGAGTAAAGGAATCGCTGGAGCTTGGTCTTTGTTTTCTGACGTGGCCTGCACGAGCCCCGGGGCTCTTTGGAGTCTTTTTAGGGGTGGGAGGTGCGGGGGTGTTCTCGCCACGCAGCATGTTCACCGGTCACTCTGAGGGTCGAAACACTGGCTGCTTCCGATGCAGAGTCGAGCTAAGGCTTTGGGGGGCAGGAGGCCTGCTTGGGGGGGCTAAGACGGTGTACACGCTGCGGCTGTGGGGCTGAATTCAGACGGAATGTGTGGGAGAGGGTCCCCTTTTTCTTTTAAATTATGGTAAAATATGATAACAAAGTTTACCGCCTCAACCGTGTCTGAGAGAACAGTTCAGTGGCGTGAAGCCCATTCTCATTGTGCGCCCATCACCACATGGTCTCCAGAACTTTCTCGTCCTCCCAAGCTGACACTCTGGGCCCAGCCTTCCACCCGCCACCCTACTTTCGGTCTGCGAATTGGCCTCCTCCAGGGGCCTCACACAAGTGCAATGGCCCAGAATTTGTCCTTTCGTGTCTGGCTTATTTCACTGAGTACAATGTCCTCAGGGTTCACCCACGCTGTAGCCTGTGTCAGTGTCCTTCCTTTTCATGGGTGAATAATATTCCACAGCATGGATAGACCACACTGTGTTTACCCCTCGTCCACCAGTGGACACTCGGGCTGTTGCCACCTTTTGACTCTTGTGAATCATGCTGTTGTGAACATGGGTGTACTTTTAAAAGTCTTGTATCAGGTCCTGGCCGGTTTGGCTCAGCGGTTGGAGCATCGGCCTATGGACCAGAGAGACCCAGGTTCGGTTCCCGCTAAGGGCACGTACCTCAGTTGCGGTTTGTCCCCAGCCCCAGTTGGGGTCGTGTGGGTGTCAACCATTCGATGTGCCTCTCTCACATCGATGTTTCTCTCTTTCTTTTCCTCCCTCTCTCCCTCCTGCTCTATCTGAAGATAAATGCAAACATGTCCTCGGGTGAGGATAAAAGCATAAAATAAAATAGTCTTGTATCAGGGCTTCATTGATGTGAAAAACCAATGTCCTGGGGCCCCACTACCACTGATCTGTTGAAGGGTGGAGGGTGGTCGTCCCCAGGGCTGGGTGTGTGGCTGAGTCCCGGGAGCCCACCGGATGCCCGGCTGTGGGCTCGGGGACCTGACCTTGTGAGCAAACAGCCTCACAGGGGTGAATGGGACCTGCCAGGTTGAACCATCAGCAAGGGGGTGATGACAAGGCCCCCGGTCCAAAGCCATCATGCCACGCCCCCTTGTACTGTGTCACCTGTCACGTCAGGTGCCCAGGTTGGAGGCGTTCAAGTCCAAGGTGACTGTGGCATTGGAAGAGGAAATAAGTCTTCACCTCTAAGAACATGCGTTGAAGAGGAGGAGGCCTGGCCACTGTCACTGGCCGTCAAGGGTGGAGAGGCTGTTTCTGTGGCGTGTGGTTGGGGACTGTGGCCACGCGGCTCAGCCAGGGCGGCAAAGAGCGGCAGGTGCCCCGGCCCCACCCCGCGCCCGTGAGTCTGGTCTGGGCTGCCTGGAACCGGGCCAGCAGCGGGGTCTGCACGTCACAGTCACGGCTGATGGAAGAGACACGTCTCACCAGCCGGGGAGTTGGTGGCCCTCCCAGTGGTGTGACTTCAGGGTCTTCCTGAGGTCTCTCTAGAGCAGGGAGCGAGGGGGTCCTGCCCCCGTGGGGTCCACGCTGAGTCTCTGTTCGCCCCGCGCCTCGCGGACCTTCATCCCAACACACGCACAACGCACGACCCGCGCTCTCTAGACCGGAGGCCATGGCCACTCCCCGCGACACCACCATTGCGTGGTCTGTGCTCCCGCCCCCGGGCTGCTCCTGCCGTCACACCCTGGGTCCTGTCCCCGTGAATGTGGCTTCGACGTGGCATTGCTCTTACTTCTGCGCTTACCTGTGCAGGTGTTGGCGGGGCCTTCACGCCCGGGGTCCCCAGGGAGGGAAGGGGAGCCCTGCTTCCTCAGACCCTGTCGCCGTGACCCAAGCTTGGTCCGTCCCAGCCGCCTCGGGCAGGTCTGGAAGCATCCAGAAGCTTCCGTGTCTCGGTCACCTATTCCAGGAGCGGTGGAGGCAGACGGGCCGGCCGGAGGGGGGGGCTGGCAGGGGGAAGCGTCGCAGAGCATATTCTTGGTCCGGATCGCTTTTCCTCAGACTTTTTCTGGGCGACAAGCCATTTGGGAATGTTCGTTAAATGCCTGAAACACAGGAGCCGACTTCTCTTTGTGTCCTCTGCCAGCACGGAGGCCGCGGATCCCATCATGCTGACTGTTCCCCTTCTCTCCCTGCCTCACAGTGAGCGACCTGCAGGAGGAAGGCAAGAAGGCCATCAACTCGCCCATGTCCCCCGCCCTGCTGGACCTGCACCCGGAGGACACCCTGCTAGGTACCGTGCGCTGCCCGGTTCGGCCCTGGTGAGACCGGGGAAGCCCGGCGGCCACCGCCGCGTGAGCCGATGCCACACTGGGCGGCATTCGAGGGTCCGTGCGCTTGGCTCAAGGTCGTTTAAGAAAAGTGTGCGGGGAAAAGCAAGTAGATTTCGCTGTCCCTGGTGAAAAATGTAAGTTGTATCACGGTTTAGGATGGGCGAGGCCGACAGCTGAGGGGACAGCTGCCACTGAAACGCAGCACGTTGTCCCCGGGGCCGCGCAGGTGGGGCCTGTGCCAGGCAGGGCCCCTCGGGGAGGCGCCAGGGCAGGGCGGAGGCAGGGGCTGGAGGCAAAGTCCAGGCAAAGGTCTTTCTTGGGGTTCTCGCGAGGAAGAGGGGATGAGGCGGGGTCGTTGGCTAAGCTGAGTCATTACGGGGGGGCCCCGGGTGACGGGGGCAGGGATGTCCCTGGGAGTGTCAGCCGGTGATGGAGGTGACCGCGCTCTTGCTGTGCACGGGAAAGGCCCTCATGGAGGAGCTGCTGGCTGCCTTGGGACTTCGGTAGCCCTGGTGGAGCTGTGTCTCTGGGTGCACAAGGCCCCCAAATGGGAAATGACACAGGAGTGACGCAGTGCCCCATCTCTGTGCACCGGAGCTGCCCCAGGCCTGGGGCTTGCTGGGTAGGACCTGCCAAGTGTCCCTACCGCCTGGGGACCACGCCCCGGTTCAGCCCTGACCAGGTGACAGGCTGGGCACGTTGTCCTTACAGCGTGTTTTGGGATCTGATCCATCTGGGAAACTTCCCTGTGTTTCCGAACCCCCGTTCGAAGGGAAGTCCCGGCGGGCCCCCGTGTTGTGGTTTCCGGGAGGAGGCCAGGCTAGCAGGAGCTCGTGAAAGTGCTGACGCTTCGGCCCAGCGGCCCGAGGCCGCGGCGGCCGGGCTCCCTGCCGGCCTGCGGGCCACGGAGGCTTCTCCCTCTTGCACGAGCGTGGCTCTCCATGGTTCCCGTGGCCGACGGTCCTGGTCTGGCTGGAGCCACCGTCCAGGCAGGTGCTCCTGGGTGAGACCGTCCACGGGGAGCTGGGATCGGCTTGCGGGTCTGGGAGTCAGGCTGAGTCACAGCGGCCTCTCTGCCTGGGCCTCGTGGGGTGTGGGCGCTGGATAAACCCTGCTGTGGGGTGTCCTGGGCCTTGTGGGGTGTCGGCGCTGGATAAACCCTGTTGTGGGGCTGTCCTGGGCCTCGTGGGGTGTCGGCGCTGGATAAACCCTGTTGTGGGGCTGTCCTGGCCTCGTGGGGTGTCGGCGCTGAATAAACCCTGTTGTGGGGCTGTCCTGGCCCCTGCCCACCAGATGCCACCCCCCCTCAAGACAACCAAACATGTCTCCAGACATTGCTGCCCTGGGGTGGGGGCCACTGTCACTCCTGGGTGCGACCCTGCTTCAGACCAGCGGGGACAGGAAGTAGATTCATCTTAACCGTGGCGGGCCACGTGTCAGTCATGCCCGGAACCGGCCTGTCCCTGGGCCCTGACCCTCTGGTCTGTCTTTCTAACCAGCTGCCCTGCTCTCCACGGTGCTTTGTAAGGCTCCACGGCCCGGGCTCAGGCGGCACCTGGAGCTGAGCTCGGAAGGGTGAAGGGATGTGGGGGGGGGGGGCAGACGGAGAAGCAGGTGCCAGGGCCCTGTGGCAGGTGGTGGCGAGGCTTGCTGAGGAGCGAGGGGGGCCGGGGGGCCGGGGACACAGGCTGCAGAGGCCTCGCTGGCCGCACGGAGGACGCCAGCCTGCACCCCAGGGGTCGTGGGAGGCTGCTGAGGGCCTCAGCGGGACATCGCCAGGGACCCCCTTGCGGCCCTCGGTGTGTCCCCTGGAGCTTCCCTCTCGACATCAGGTCCGCACAGAAATAGCTTCCCCCTTTGTCAGCTTTAAAATGAGCTCAGGTGGCACCTGGGGCTGAGCTCTGAAGCCACTGTTACGAAAGCCGTTTTGTTCCCACCCACACCGACAGGGCCCCCAGCTCCCCAGGAGCTGGTCTGGGCCCAGGTCCCGGGTCCCCTCCACCCGTGCGTCCCGGGTCGTGTCTGGCCTCCGCGGGCCTGGCTCCTCGTGGCCCCTCGTGGCCCCTCGCTCATCGCCTCGCCACTCCTGTGCCGAGCTCACTGGTCCCTGCTGCCCCAGAGCAAGGCCAGAGCACGGAGGGAAAGTCAAACAGCTGCACAGACAGAGTGAGGACGAGCACATGTTGCTGTGAAACAGCCTCCTTGTCTGCGTTTTCTTTCTAACGTGTTTGCTCTGTGCTCTCTCACCCAGCGGTGAGCATTCCCCGTGTTCATGTTACGCGAGGCACACAAGGAGACAGCGTGGGCCTGGCCGCCACGCCCAGGGTCTCCCCCAAAGATGTGCTCAGCGAGGGGCGAGGCCGGCAGAAGGATGGGGTGACTGCGTCCCCCGCGGGGGTGGGTGAGCTCGAGGCTGCCCTCCGCTTTCCAGGGGCTGTTCCCCGCTAGGCCGCCGCCCTGGGCCGCCACTGCTTACTCAGAAAACACCGGGGTTCTCCGCTCTCGGCCACCTCCCCGACCCGTGCCAGGAAGTCAGCTGCCCACCTGCCTGCCCCCATGAACGCTGACCCTGCTCCTTTGTCCCCACCAGAGGAGAATGAGGAGCGTACAATGATCGACCCCACCTCCAGGGATGACCCCAAGTTCAAGGAGCTGGTCAAGGTAAGGAGGGGCATCTTGGTTGGGATGTTCCTGTTGGGGCTAAGCTTTGGGGGTGCAGGCTCCTTGGGAAAGGAGCCAGCCAGAGGGCTGGGGAAGGGGGCCTCATGCTGCTAGGTGAGGGCGTGTGGTGAGGAGGCTGCATGGAGGAAGGGGTCCAGGTCATGGTGTGGACACCTGCCCAGTGCCCGCTCCACGGGGCCTTTGCAACCGCCGGCTCGCACTCTGTGCTGGGCGGAGGGAGCGGCCGGGGGGGCAGAGGTGTGACCCCTCCGGCTGCTCCTGCTCAGAGCCGTGTGATGCGACACCCCGGCTCTGGGTGGACGGTCAGTCTCTGCTGCGTCCGGACGGGCAGACACCAGCTGACAAGGAGCCGGCTGACAAGCTGACAGTGTGTCGTTCCGAGTCAGGGGAGCAGGGCGGAGGGCGGGGCTCTGTCTCTCCTGCGCGCGCTCCCCCGCGTGGTTTCCAAGCCGCAGCGAGCGGTGAGGCTTCGTCCGTCCTGTTTGTCGTGTCCCCGTGTGGGCGGCAGGTTTGAGGCTCCAGTGGGAACCCCAGCAGGCTCTGGGGCCTCTCCCGCCGCGCCGGCCCGCTCCCCGCGGGCAGCCCGGACATCGCGTCGCTGCCGCGGCCAGCGGGGTGACCGGGCTCCGGTGACCTGGACTCCGGTCACGCAGTGCGTGTCTGGCCAAGTGCTTTTGAAACAGCTCCTCCACCTGCGCCGCTGCTGCGGAATCCGGTGGTGCGTGTCCACGGGGCTGACACGGCGTAAAGAGACCCTGTGCGTCACCTTTTACAAACCTGAGACTGCGATGCCGCCCTGGCCGGTTTGGCTCAGCAGTGAGACAACGTCTCGGGTTCGATTCCCAGTCAAGGGCACGTACCTGGGTTGCAGGTTTGATCCCAGGGCCGGTCGGGGTCATGCGGGAGGCAACCCATCGATGTGTCTTTCTTAAAATCAATGCAAAAGTGTCCTTGAGTGAGGATTCACAAAAAACGAAAACAAAAACAGAAAAAGACATTGAAAATGTCGGTTTTAGGACCCACCCCAAATGTTGATTCCTACTTTATTAACCCCCCCCCCCCCGAGTACCTGTTTGTTGTTTGGAACAAACGGAGCAGCTGCCAGCAGGCCGTTCACGGGGAGGCGTCAGCGTGAGGTGGCGAAGGCCCCCCGTTCCTCAGGGTTCTCCAGAGAAACAGAAGCAAGGGACCTGCCCTGCCCTGTCTCTGCCTGGCTCACATGGCGATGGAGGCTGGGAGGTCCCATCGCAAGCTGGGTGGAGACCCAGGTGCTGCGGTTCGAAGGCCAGAGAGCCGAGGACGAGAGAGCGATGTTCCGGCCCAGCAGCCGGGCAGACACAGGGCGAACCCTCCTTCCTCTGCCTTTTGTTCTGCCCGGGCCTTCGTGGATCGCATGGCGTCCTGAGACGGCCCGTAGGTTTGATGATTCGAGAGAAGCGTGGTTCTTGCCGTGAAGGGACCAGGTTAAAATAAGCCTGGGGAAGGTGTGTGGAGCGGGGCGCAGGAGGACCGCACCCTGACTTCCCCGGGAGTCGTGGACGGCGGCATTTGCTGGCACTGATGTGACCATATTCAAGGAGCGTCCCAGCCAGGGCAGCTCCTGAGCCTCGTGGTCCAGAGATTTTCCTGGGTGGCCCACCTGCAGACCTGAGCGGGTCAGTGAGGTCTGGGTGACATCGGGGCCTCTGGCCACGTCCCCGTCTTGGGAGCAGCAGGACATTCCAGAGGAAGCAGAGTTGTCTCCATGTGCTTTCTCTGTTCTCTGTCATCTGAACTGTCTTCACGCCCGGCCGGTGCAGCTCAGTGGTGGAGCGTCGACCCTGCACCAAGAGGTCGCCCGTTTGATTCCGGTCAGGGCACATGCCCAGGTTGTGGGCTTGATCCCCAGTGGGGGGCATGCAGGAGGTGGTCAGTCGATTTTCTCTCTCATCGACGTTTCTCTCTCTCTCCCTCTCCCTTCCTCTCTCTCTAAAATCAATAAAGAAAAAAAAATTTTTTTTAATTGTCTTCACCTCTTGCCTTGGCCCCTGTTCTGTTCCTCTGCAAATTTGCCCCTGACCCTGCTGTCTCCAGACAGTCACTGTGTAAAATGCTGTCCTCTGTCCTTTGCTTCCTATAAAGACCGGCTCTGGCGTTCATCCAGGAACCCCATCTGAGCATCTCTCGGGTCAGGGATGGAGGTCGAGGGGTGGGGGTGCGCTGGGCTCTGGAGTCCGGCTTCCCGGATTGGCAGACCAGCTCCGACTGGGGAGGGAGAGCAGCCGAGCCTGCCGCCAGCATGTCCAGGAGGGGACCGCGGACACGGCTCCAGGCCACTGCCGCGGGGCAGGCGGGTGGGCGGATTTAGAAGGGACACGGCCGCCCGAGAGACTCGCCCTGACGTCCTCTTGGCCAGTGTCCCGCCCTGTCACCGTTTTCCCCAGACCCTCCGCAGACGCCCTGACGTACAGGCAAAGCCTGTGCCGCCTGGGCCGTAGCGGCTCACCGACGGGAGCCTCTACTTCCGAACCCTCTTTCCAAGGGGGAATGGCCGTCCTCGTACCTTCCAGAAGGAATGGCCGGGAGAGGCCCCCGCACTCGAGAGCCCGTCGGCCCGCAGCCGCTGACTGCGTCATCGCCGGGGTCCGCCCTTCTCCCCACGAGCAGGTCTCACACCTCATTTCCCGGTTTATTGGACAAGACTCTGGTTGTTCAGCCCTGTTTTCTTCTCCCCTCGTCCCCGTGAAGAGCATCGGCCGTGGGCGGCTCCTCTGGGCGGAGGAGCTGCGGGAGGCGCCGGGATGCGATCGGGCGCTCCGCCCGCTGGGTCCAGTCCTCCGTGGATTCATTCGGCAGTGACGAGCCAGTTTGGAAGTGATTAAAACGTAACTGTTGTGGTTTGGGGGAGACAGGCTGCAGATCCTGACAATCATTCAGAAGAAGCTAGAGGGACAGTGACTTTTTTATTCTGGTTTGAGAAAGCTCGTAAAACGTGTGCGCCAAGGGCACCGTTAGGATACGTCCAGACGTGTGCCCGCAGGATTCGGGGCCTGCAAGTGAGGACATCCCTGAACGTCACGGAAGGGCTTGCGATCGGAGGGCGAGGACGGAGGAGCTGGGAAGCATGGGGTGGTGTCCCCGAGGAGACCGCACGTCCTCGGGGTGGCCGGCAGACCCGCGGTGGATTGCGGTTGCTTCTCAGCGCGGGGCACCTCCTGGCCCCCTGTGTGGAGCTCGCTTTTCACCCTGCCCTGGCTGGTGTTCCCGTCTGGGCTTTGATCGGCTCGGAGACCCAGATGGATTTCGAAGCTTCAGCTTCTCCACAGCAGACGCCATCTGTCCGGCGGTTCCCAGCAGGACAGCGCCCCGGGCAAGGCAGCCTCCGGAAGCAGCCAGTGGCGGGCCCCAGAGACCTCGCCAGGTCTGCAGGCTGTTCTGCAGTTTGTTTGGGCCCCTTCCGTGGGTCTGGCCCAAGGTTAGCCTCTGGGGGTACGGCGTGGGGCAACACGGTGGCCGCCGCGGGCCTGGGCCACCTGGCTGGGGTGTGTGTGTCAGGCTGCTACACCACACGCACCTCACTTTCCACGACCTGGGAGTGTGGTTCTCGTTGGTCCTTCTTGTCTGACCCCCAGGTCGGAGGGACCCCCAGGACAGAGGCCCCTCTGCCCTATTTATTCCCAGGGTCTGGCACATAGAAGGTGCTCCGTAAGTCAATTGATTAACACAATACCTGTGTATGGAGCGCCATGCCAGGCATTGAGCACTGGGTGCTGGGGACAGAGCCGCACACATGTCATAGCTGCTGACCTCAGCGAACTTGAAGTCCAGTCGGGGAGATCATGATGAGCAAAGATGAGTTGGCCTTGCCCATGTGACCAGGTCAGGGAAAAGGCACTTGGGTGTGCTGGGAGCTGTGGTATGAGGATGTGGCCTGGGTGGGGTGGGGCGGTCAGGTCAGGGACAATACAGGAGCTTGCGACCTGAAGGATGAGTGCGAGCTGGCCAGGCTGTCGGGACGGGGTGTGCTCAGTGTGGAGGAACAGCACGTGCAAAGGCCCTGAGGCGGGGGGAGCTTGGGGTATTTGAAGAACACAAGCGAGGAGGCAGGGTGCTCAGGTAGGGCTGTGGCGTTGGTCGAGGGAGGTGGTTGGGACAAGGGCAGTGGGAGAGGAGGTGTTGAGAAGTGGACCCAGTTGAGAAGTGGGCAGAAGTAATGTTACGGGGTGGAGTCCAGGCTCCTGAAACTCATGCCTGGTGTCTGCTTCCCTCTTGGAGAACAGCAGGCTTGGGGGTGACGCGTTCAGTGAGAGGAGCTCGTGGAACCTGCGCAGGACGGTGCGGGGGGGCGCAGGGGTTCCTGGGACAGGGACAGCGCTGGAAGGCAGGGGAGGGCATGAGCTGGCCTTGGGAGAGAGGGACACATCCGCCATCGAAGCTGCCTTTGCTCGTGCTATCCCCCGAGCACACTCAACGGGAAACGCTTTGGAGGAGAGTCTGGCCTGGAGAAGTGAGCAGCAGCCACGTAGAGAAGGTGTCCACCCGTATCCAGAGCCGCGCTGTCTGCCGCAGCCGAGCTGGGGGGGCGTGTGTCTACGCACTGGGCTGTGACTCACCCACGAGAACGCATGAAGTCACACGACGTGGATGACCTCGAAAACACGCCAAGTGGGAGAAGCCAGACCCAGAGCATTCTGTGGTTCCGTTCATACGAAATGTCCGGGCAGGCGGATCGATCCACGGGCAAGAGAGCTTGGTGGCTGGAAGGAACGGGGCGGGGGATGGGCGTGACTGATGAGCAGGTGCAGGGCTGCTTTGGGGGATGATGAAAATGCCCTTCGGTTGATGATGGCGATGGCTGCACGGCTTTGCGAGCACCCTGCAAACCACCGGCGCGCACCCTTGACAAGCGTGACTGTGTGGTGAGCGGATTCTGTCTCCACAAAGCTCTCAGGAAGGGCAGGAGCTCAGAGCTCGTGGTGTGGACCTCCGGGATCCCCTTTTCTCTGCAGCTTTAGGCCCGGGGTGATCGGGACTGTTTTTGGTGCAGATCTGAGGGGAGGGGAGGGGACAGACGGTTTATGGCCTGTGCTGCCTCAGGCCCCCCAGGGCAGTGCTAGTACCATCCGCTCATGGAACCCCCTCCTCACGCCCTGGTGAGCTGGTGTCCTCGGGCCCTGTGGCTGGGAGTTCCCGCCAGGAGCAGGCCCAGTCTGGGAGGGGGCTGCCTCCCCTGGGTTCTCGTGAATTCAGAAGCCCTGGCAGCCTGGGGGTCGGCACCCTCTGGCCCTGGCCGTAGGCTGGGAGCAGCTTGCCTTTCCCACCGCGGCCGGCCTGGCCCCTGTGCTGCGGCGTCCGGCTGTCCCGCGGCCCTCGGTCCTCCGCCGGCTATGGTCACTGCCTTAGTCCGGGTGGCGCTGCTGAGATGGCCATCACACCCGCCTCCCCCAGGTCCTCATCGACTGGATCAACGACGTGCTGGCGGAGGAGAGGATCATCGTGAAGCAGCTGGAAGAGGACCTGTACGACGGCCAGGTGCTGCAGAAGCTCTTGGGTGAGTCTGCGGGAGGGGCGTTCCCAGTGCAGGCCACCTGAGCCGGCCGACGGTCACACGTCCTGAGAGTGGGCCGGAAGCCCCAGTCCTGAGCCCTCAGCCCCCAGGTGGCGTCCGGGGGCCTGGGCTTCAGGGCCCCTGTCCCGTCGTCATTTCTCCGGTGGGCGTTCCACTCGAGCTCCTAGGCAGCAGGTCACGCACAGCTTCTAGGTGGTCCCCTGCTGTGCTGCTGGGTGCGCGCTGCCAAGGGGAGCGTGGACGGGGGTGCACGGGGCACCGGTTCCTCTGGGTGGCCCTCCCTGCCAGCCTGCGCCCCTCCCTTCAGACGGGGGGAGCGGGCGGGTGGTCCCGGAGGGTGTTCTGCGAGTGGGCTGTGGTTTGCAGGGGGCGGAGGGGCGAGGAGTGGACACTGATTGGACACAGCTCTTCATGTCGCCCCAGGGCAGCCAGAGCTCTGCCCCGAGCTGACGCGGGAGCGGTCAGGGTGCTGGCCCAGGGTCTGGAGCCAGGACGTGGCAGAGAGACAGAGACATGGAAAAGGAGAGCCGGGGCCGCGAGTCCCCAGTTCCTCTGGGTGACGGGCGCACGGTCACTGCACTGGCCGAGGCAGCGAGGGTGCCCTGCGGTCGGTCCCCTTGCTTCCAAGGACAGGGGCTCCTTCTGCAGGAAATGAAGGCGTGTTCGTCCGGGTCCTTCAGCTTCAGCTGTGTCCCCAAGGAGTTCTAATACATTTTTAGGGTCCCATAAGTCTGCAAAGGTGACCTTGAGGACTCAGTGTCCCCTTGTGTGTGGGATAACACACTTCCTAAGAGTCAGCAGGAGCCCCCTACTCCGTATAGTCTGGCAGAGGGGAGATGAGTCCGGGGTGTTCAACCTCAGAGCGAATAAATGCGTGAGGAGATGCCGAGGGTGGGAGGATCGGAGGGCTGGGGGCCAAGAGTGAGGGGGGGTGGGAGGATCGGAGGGCTGGGGGCCAAGAGTGAGGGGGGAGGATCGGAGGGCTGGGGCCGAGGGGGGGGGCGGGAGGATCGGAGGGCTGGGGGCCAAGAGTGAGGGGGGCGGGAGGATCGGAGGGCTGGGGGCCGAGGGGGGTGGGGGGGAGGATCGGAGGGCTGGGGGCCGAGAGGGGGGGCGGGAGGACTGGACGGGTGCGGTGGCTCGGGGGGGGGGGCGGGGAGGATCGGAGGGCTGGGCGGGCCGAGTGGGGGAGGCGGAGTGAGAGATCGGAGGGCTGGGGGCCGAGTGACGGGGGGGGCGGGGAAGTATCGGAGGGCTGGGGGGTCCGAGGGGGAGCGGGCGGGAGGATCGGAGGGCTGGGGGCCGAGGAGGGGGGGCGGGAGGATCGGAGGGCTGGGGGCCGAGGGGGCGGGCGGGAGGATCGGAGGGCTGGGGGCCGAGGGGGGGGGGGAGGATCGGAGGGCTGGGGGCCGAGAGGGTGGCCGGTGGCCGGGGCGGGTGGTCGGGCGGTGACCTCTGCCCAGGCTGCTCCGCAGCTGGAGTGGGAAGAAGGTTCCAGGCTGAGCTGAAGTGGGGAGCAGTCTGTAGCGTTCACTGGGCTGTGGAAGGGGGTGAATGTGCGGCGGGGTGGGGGTGGGGGCTGGGAAGATGGACAGGGCCACACCGTGTGCAGCCCTGGTGGACAGAAGTTTTTATTCCAAGTGACAGGTGACAGGAAGCCAGTAGAGGTTTTGGTCAGGGCCGTGACATGATCTGAGTTCACGTTTTCAAAGGTTACCCGGGCTTCTGGGTGCAGCACGAAGTGGCTCAGGAGGGGAGCCGAGCGATGGGCCGGGCACCGTCTGCGCAGCCCAGGTGCAGAGGACGTGGCCGGCGCTGGGGGAGGGCACCCTGGGGCGCCCCGGGGCAGTGCCCAGGACGGGGTGCTCGGGACGGTGCTGTGAGTGATGAATGCAGTATCCCAAGCCCAGGGGCGTTGCTGTATGTATCCGTGTCCTCGAGGGGACAGACGTCAGGACTGCGTGTCCTTGCTCGGTTTGGGGGAGGGGGGCTGCAGACACTGCCAGTGCAAATGCCTTAGCAGTTCCTTGGGGGGGACACTGCAAGATAGACACCCCATTTGTGACTGGCCTGTGTGATGATGCGACTCGACTTGGAATAAACAGACCGGAGGGGCCCTGGGCTCCTTCCTGGCCTTGGCCCACGCAGGTGCGGGGCCGGACGTCGCCCACCGCTGGTCTTAGCCCCAGGAACTGTCCTTTAAGCTGATGTGACGGTTTTTGTCTGGCTCCTCCAGGCTGCTTCCTGCTCACTCTGGGAAACTGGGTAGTCGCAGGCATCGGGGGCCTGGTTGTCCCTCCCGGCGCCCAGATGAGACGAGCGTGGGCCGGGAGGGCCTGGGAGGCGGAGGGAACATGTCCCACCCTGATCTTCCCATCCAGTCCTCTTCCCGCCGGGAAGGCCCTGGCCCGCCTCCGCAGCTCCCGTCCGTCCCCGCAGGTCACCTCCTTGCCCGTCCACGTCAATCATTCTGTCCATTTCATGCACACAGAATGTCCCCAAGGGGGACGCCGGCGTTCTGCCCGCGCACCCCACCCCCTTTCATTCTGGAGCAGTTATCGGAGGAACTCGGGTGACCTGACCAGGCGTCCCTGCGCCCCCCCGGCCACGCCTGACAGCCTGCCCTGCTCTTGTCCTCCTCACCGCAGAGAAGCTGGCCGGCTGCAAACTGAACGTGGCCGAGGTGACGCAGTCTGAAGTCGGGCAGAAGCAGAAGCTGCAGACGGTGCTGGAGACGGTGCAGGAGCTGCTGAGGCCCCACGGCTGGGCGCTGCGGTGGGCGGTGGACGGTGAGCGGCGCGGGGGCGGGGCTCCCGGCTCTCCACCGGCCACTTCCCATCGGATCTCACAGTGAACAAGCTCCTTCACCCTGCTCCGCGACAGGCAGGCATGGTGGGGAAAGCCAGCACCCCAATCCAGGAGCGCGCGGCCCCACCCACCACCTTTGTCTGTCCCCTTCTCCCCCACCCCCCGGACTTCAGGACAGAGTGGAGTTCTTTCTGGTCGGAGAGACGTCAGAGGGAGGGTGGGAATTCATTACAAGACAGAAGCTGTGTGGGGTTCTTGCCAGGGACACCCAGACACCCAAGCCGCCACACCAGGTGGGCGGCACCGTGACCCACCCGAGCAGGTCCTCAGGAGGTGCGCGCTGGGCCCAGGCTGTGTCTCAGAGGTGCTGGCGTTAGGAACACGTGACCTCGCAGTACACCCAGCCAGGACGCGAACCGGAAGGGTGAAAAACTAGACCGAGGAAGCGGAGATCCCTCTCCGGGCTTTCTCCCCACACCCCTCGCCCTCCATGCAGGGCAGTCCGGCTGTGGCTTAGGAGCCCCCCTGCTGGGGAGGGGCCCTGTGGCTGCCCTGTGGTCGGTTTCTGGCTTCTTAGCACCGAAACCTCGGACAGACCCAAGCTGACCTCACGGGTAGCGGGGCTGTGGGTGGGGCATCGGGTGCTCTGTAAACAGTAAAGCCCTGTGCTCGGTGGTGACAGTGGCCCCCGTACCGGAGAAGACGAGCTCTCAGAAGGCCAGGGACCTAGGCGGGTGGAATTCAGGTCTCCCGTCCCCAAAGCAGCATTTCCGATAGCCTGCCCTCGTGGGGTGGCTCATGGCAGAGAGGTCGTGATGCGCGTCCCTGTGCCGGCTGAGTGGCAGGGTGACCTGTTTCTCACGATCTTCCCTTCTCCTGCGCTTGCACGAGACACCGAGGCCGACAGACAGGCCCGAGTCAGGCGCTGAAACGGAGTTCGGGGGGATGTGCGTCGGCTCTCTCCGTTTCTCCATGGCCTGTGGTTTCCCTCCAAGGTCTCATTTCCACGTAGCTTCGTCATCGCCTTTTGGACGCAGGCTCGGGGTTACCGTATAACGCTCTAACGAGGCTTCTTCTGTCCTCCCCCACAAGCCATCCACGGGAAGAACCTGGTGGCCATCCTCCACCTGCTCGTGTCCCTGGCCACGCACTTCCGGGCCCCGATCCGCCTCCCTGAACATGTCTCCGTGCAAGTGGTGGTCGTGCGGGTGAGTAGCGCCAGGTGGCCGGCCTGTCCCCCACGCGGCTGCAGGGGCACCTGCCCTCTCCCTCCTGTGCTCCCCGCTGTCTCCTTTCTGTCCCCCCGGGAGGCTGCTTTCTGTGTCTCCCTCTCGACAAAGCGCGTGTCTCACCCTGACCTTGAGACAGGCGGTTGGAGCAGGGACAATGTCATCGATGTGAAGAGGCAGATTCCAAGGCACGGGAGTGCCGGGGTGTCATTCCCCACATTTTCGAGAAGAACATTCATTTCTCTTGGAAGCCGCTGGTCGGAATGCAGGCTCTGAGCAAGCGTATTGTTTGCTGGAGAGGGGCGGGGCCGGCTTGTGACACAGAGGCCGGTGAGGCACCTGCGGGCTCAGTCTGTGTGGGGGCCGCCCCCCCACTCCTCCGCCTTGGGGGTCGTTTCTCTGGCTTCACTTGGAGAACTGTAGCCAGGAGCCAGGGTCCTTCTGAGGGAGGCCCAGCTGCCTTTCCTGGCTGTGTCCTTGCATTTCAGGGACAGACTGCCCCGGCTGGGTGCTTTGTCCAGTACGCATCTGCTGAGCACCTGCTGCGTACCTGGTGCTCCGTGTGGCTGTTGCCGTCCCTCCGTGAGGGAAACAGGCCAGAGTCCGACAGGAGCAGCTGCTTCTGCCACGGGGCCGAGGGGGCACCCAGAACCGAGGGCTCCAGCGTTTATTAATTGTTGTTTTTTTTTTAAATCCTCACCTGAGGATGTTTTTCTATTTATCTTCAGATAGAGTGGGAGGGAGGGAGAGGAGAGAGAGAAGCATCGATGTGAAAGGGACACATCGACTGGTTCCCTCCTGAAGGACCCCAACCAGGGCCGGGGATGAACCGCAACTGAGGCACGTGCCCTTGGCTGGAATCGAACCCGTGACTCATTGGTCCGTGGGCCGACGCTCTAACCGCCGAGCCAGCCCGGCCAGGGCTCCAGTGTTCGTTTTATTGGGGATGTCCGGCTCCACGCTGTCCTCCGGTCTGTGGACTTACAGGGCCTGGTCTCTGTGGTCGGCGAGGCTCTGGCCGGCCCTGTGATTCCCAAGGGAGTGACCCCTGCGTGCACCGGGAGCTCGGCCTCACCCGGCGGCCGGGACGCCCTTCCCTGGCGTCAGATGAGGCGCTCCTGCTATTGGCCCCCTTTGCTCCCTGAGGAGCGAGTTTGTGGTTGGGGGTGACGAGGACAGGGAACTATGCCCGTTGTCATCGGCTCGGCCGGCGGGAAAGGCTTCTTGAGGACACACGGGAACACGGTTCCCAGACCCACGCACGTCAGCCCAGGCCCCCGGAGCTCCCTGCCGCTTACTCACTGGGCTATTTCCTTTCAGGCCTGAACTTTGGTTTAATCTTTTGGGTTTGCGGGAAGTTTTACTGACCCGGGCAAGCACTTGCTGGCACGCCCTCCTTGACCAGGGTCACGGAAGGATTCCTTGGGCCACCGCCCAAGCTGGGGAGAGGCAGTCTGAGAGCGGCCGGCCTCAGCCTCAGCCGGTCCCAGACCTCAGAGGGCCCGCCTTCCCCAGGGCCCCGCCCGCGCCGTCCTCCAGGCCCAGGGGTGCAGGGGTGCCGCAGTGGGTGGAGGGATGGATGAGGGCTGTGCCCCAACCACCACCCAGCACTGCTGTCTCTGAGCTACAGTGATTTCCCCATAAAACCGAGGTTATACTACAAACCTGGAAAACTCAGCTTCCGGTGTCCCGCGCCTAGGGCTGTGCCCACCGGCCGGCGCCCACCTCATGAGAAGGAGAATCGGGGTCCCGGGCCTCTCCCAGGGCTCCCCTGAGGCTCCGTCAGGGTGGGGCAGCTCCACGGACAGGCGCCTGCAGGAAGGCTTCCCGCGAGGCCGGACACAGCAAGGCTCCGGAGCCTGTATCTTGAGAGGGGTGCCCCGTGGGCTGCCAGCTGGGAGTGACCTCCCTGTCCCTTGAAGGGGTTCAAGCAGGGGCTTTCGGTGGGGGCTGGGGTAGCTGGCCATGAGTGGCACCCTGAGGCTGCCCACACCCCCGCCAGGCTCCGGGAGCCGTGTTCGTGGCCTAGAGCTGCTCCCACACGCCGCCACACGCCGCCACACGCCAGGGGTTTGAGAACAGCAGACAGGATTCCCTCCGGGCCGGAGGCCCCGTGTCCTAAGGAAGGAGCTGGCAGGGCGCGTCCCTCTGGGCTCCAGGGAGGGGCCTTCCTGCGGCCTGCGGCCCGGCTGGCGCAGGCCCCGTGCCCTTGGCGTGTGGACACCTGGGTGTAGTCTCTGCCTCCTTGTCTCGTGGCCTCTCCTCTCTGTCCACCTTCCGTGTCTCTGTTTTCTCTCCCTGTCAGGACCCCGGCATCTGGCATGGGAGACCCGCCCTAACCTTCTATTAACCTGTTACAGCTGCATCACCCGGTTTCCAAATATGGCCGAATTCTGGGGCTCTGAATGGACCCAACTCTGGGGGGCGTGTGTTACATCATTGATGTTTCCCATCATTGTGTTTGCTCCTCACCTCTCCCAAGTGCAGGGCGTGGTATGGGGGTCCCTCTGGGAGCTGGTGTTTCTCCTGAGACCCCCACAGCTTCGAGAGACATGGAGCCTAAGCGCGGGGGTGGGGGTGGGGGTGGGGGTGTGGCAATTCCAGCTCCCAGAGGCTCCCGGCCCGGATGTGGGCACCATTCTTTGTTCTTTCGCTGTCCCTGAGGTGGCTCGTGGGCCTGGCCATCTATGCACGGCCTCAGGAGCCCTGAGGCCCTCTTCCCGACGTCTACCCTCCCCCCATCTGCCCTGCCCCCACCTGCCCTCCCCCCGTCTGCCCTCCTGACCTGCCCTCCTCCCGACCTGCCCTCCTCCCGACCTCTGCCCTCCTCCCGACCTGCCCTCCTCCCGTCCTGTCCCTCCCTGCCCTCCCGACCTGCCCTCCTCCCGACCTGCCCCTCCTCCCGTCTGCCCTCCTCGCCCTCCCTCCTCCCGTCTGCCCTCCTCCCGACCTGCCCTCCCCCCGTCTGCCCTCCTCCCGACCTGCCCTCCTCCCGTCTGCCCTCCTCCCGACCTGCCCTCCCCCCGTCTGCCCTCCTCCCGACCTGCCCTCCCCCGTCTGCCCTCCTCCCGACCTGCCCTCCTCCCGACCTGCCCTCCTCCCATCTGCCCTCCTCCTTACCTGCCCTCCCCCCGCCTGCCCTCCTCCCGACCTGCCCTCCCCCCGTCTGCCCTCCTCCCGACCTGCCCTCCTCCCGACCTGCCCTCCTCCCATCTGCCCTCCTCCTGACCTGCCCTCCCCCCGTCTGCCCTCCTCCCGACCTGCCCTCCTCCCATCTGCCCTCCTCCTGACCTGCCCTCCCCCGTCTGCCCTCCTCCCGACCTGCCCTCCTCCCATCTGCCCTCCTCCCGTCTGCCCTCCTCCCGACCTGCCCTCCTCCCGTCTGCCCTCCTCCCGACCTGCCCTCCTCCCGTCTGCCCTCCTCCCGTCTGCCCTCCTCCCGTCTGCCCTCCTCCCGACCTGCCCTCGTCCCGTCTGCCCTCCTCCCGTCTGCCCTCCTCCCGACCTGCCCTCCCCCGTCTGCCCTCCCCCCGACCTGCCCTCCTCCCGTCTGCCCTCCCCCCGACCTGCCCTCCCCCATCTGCCCTCCCCCGTCTGCCCTCCCCGTCTGCCCTCCTCTCGTCTGCCCTCCTCCCGTCTGCCCTCCTCCCGACCTGCCCTCCCCCCGTCTGCCCTCCTCCCGACCTGCCCTCCCCCCGTCTGCCCTCCTCCCGACCTGCCCTCCCCCGTCTGCCCTCCCCCGACCTGCCCTCCCCCATCTGCCCTCCCCCGTCTGCCCTCCCCCATCTGCCCTCCCCCGTCTGCCCTCCCCCCGACCTGCCCTCCTCCCGACCTGCCCTCCCCCCGTCTGCCCTCCTCCCGACCTGCCCTCCTCCCATCTGCCCTCCTCCCGACCTGCCCTCCTCCCGACCTGCCCTCCCCCGTCTGCCCTCCCCCCGACCTGCCCTCCTCCCGTCTGCCCTCCCCCCAACCTGCCCTCCCCCATCTGCCCTCCCCCGTCTGCCCTCCCCGTCTGCCCTCCCCCCGACCTGCCCTCCTCCCGACCTGCCCTCCTCCCGTCTGCCCTCCCCCCGACCTGCCCTCCCCCCCGACCTGCCCTCCTCCCGACCTGCCCTTCCCCGTCTGCCCTCCCCCCGACCTGCCCGGGTGTTTGTGTGTTTTTCACTTGTTCATTCTGGCCTTTCAGAAGCGGGAAGGCCTGCTGCATTCCAGCCACGTCACGGAGGAGCTGACCACGACCACCGAGTAAGTGGCCCTGCCGCCCCGTCCTCCTGGCCCCGTGGCCCCAGGGACACGACACCTCACGTCCCTCCACTTGGCGGTGGATCCCGCCCGCGTCTGCCCGGCTGGCAGCCTCCACGGCCTGCGCCAGAGCTCGCTCCCTCTTTGGAGGGAGGACGAGGGAGAGTGTGGGCTGGTGGTGAACGAGGAACCCAGACCATTACTTCCCACGTAGAAACATTAGAAAACGTCTGGCGGAGCAGGTAGAACTCCTGTAGCTGCCTGAACCGATGGACACGTGGGAACACATCGATCATGTTCACAGTCTCCCTCAGGGAGGGAAAGGGAGTGGAGGGCGTCGACCTTCGGTAGGGCCGGCGCACTCAATCCGCAAAGTGAGGGCAGAACAGTTCTTCCCCAGGGCGGGGCCTTTGACTCCTTGTGTTTGAAGGGGCCTTGGCAGTGTTGAGAGGGGAGGGAGGGGGCGTTCGGACGGTCAGAGGGACCACAGTCCCCGTTCATTTACCCGTCTGCACTGGCTCCGCAGAGGGACCACACGTCTAACCCACCACTGCTCGTGGGCAGACAGGGCTGAGCCACCCTGGCCTGGAGGAGCCGGAGGGCGATCCTTAGGCCTAAACCGCTTCCAGCACATTGCGAATAGCAGGTCCCGTGGTGCGTGTCGCGTGGGGTGTCGGCGGCCCTCCGCACACCCTGTGGGGGGTCTTTAAAGTCACGGCACTTGTGCCCCCGACTAGAGCTGTTCGGGATGGAACGGAAGGTGGGCTATCGGCCGTCTCAGCCCACCCACTCAGTTCACAGGGGCTGATCACTGTCGTGAGTCCATGCAGGTCTTTCAAAGCGCGAAGCCGACCCAGGAAGCCACTCCCGGTGCGGGAGCAGGCAGGGGGTGGGAGGGACGCTGCCGGCGGCCTGGTGCGTGGGCAGCTCTGTGCCGAGCCCGTGGCGGGGACGTGGGGGCCCGGAGGGGCGGGGAGGGGCAGGGAGGGGACAGCGGGCTTTGGGGCAGGAGGAGGACTTGAAAGGGGTGAGGAGTGGCCTGGTGTCTTAGTTGTCCATGGTCATGTAACAAACCACCCCAAACCAAGTGGCTTGAAGCGACAGTCATTTTATTTGATGACAGTTCTGTGCGACAGCTGGGGCTGGGCTCAGCTGGGTGGCTCTTAGGCTGGTCTGGGGGTTGGTGACAGTGTGGACCTCTGTCCCTCCGCATGTCTCTCCTTCTAAAGCTGGGCATCCTCCATGGTGCCCTCAGGTTTCGAGAGGGCGAGAGGGCCTCCCCGGGTGCCCCGTACCCCCACACTCAGAGTCAGAGCCAGTGAGAAGGCCATCCCGGACCAGAGGGCGGGGACAGACCCTGCCGGTGGGGGAGCAGCGGTGGACGGCCCACGGGGCCTACTGTGTGCCAGGCGCTGTGCTGGGCGCCGGGAGGCTGACCGTTGCTGCTCCTCCAGGGCTGGCGGTCTAGCGGACGAGGAAGGGTGTGTCTTAGAAATGCGACATCAGCTTGTGGGAAGTGCCGTGAGCCCTGAGGGAATTTCCGAGGAGCGGAGCACCCCAGACGCGGGTGGGGGAGCTGTCCAGCGGACTTGGCTTGCCCTGGCCCACCCCTTCCCCTAGCACGTGTGGCATCGCAGTCCTCGGACGTCTGCCTAAACCATTAGTGCCCGTCTGCCTCCTGCTGCATCTGACTTCAGTCGCCTCGCGGCTTGCCCTCCCGCCGTACTGAAAGCCCGTCTTCAGTTTCTTACGGCGTCCTGCCCACCTCCCGTCTAGCCTCAACATCCTTCCCATCTCTTTCTAGAGGCGGCTCTGAGGCCACCTCCTCCAGGAAGCCCCCTCTGTTTGCAGGCAGGAGCAGCTGGCTTCTTTTGGTTCCCACCGCATCTCCCGTGTGTCACGCTGGAGAGCACCGCCAGGTGCCCCGAGGGCGGGCCAGGGGCGTCACTACTGTACCTCCATGGCCTGCTCATAGCGGGGGCTCCAGAAAGTATTTGTTCAATGAGATGGAGCCCAAGGACTTGAGGCCAGAGAGGTTTGGGGAGGACATAAAGATGGCTTTGTGTCTCGGGAAGGTGGCACATGGGAGGAGCTGCGCCTTCGTGCCCCTGAAGTCGCCACAGAGAAGCCAGGTATCCACCCATTGGCTTCAGCGTGGCCTGTGGCTCCCCAGGATCCTGTTACAGGGAGATGGGGCTCAGGTCACCTGCACCCTTGTATTTTAAAGTTCACCATCCATGCTGGTCAGGAAGACCCTTTTCCTGCTGATATGAACCCCTCCGTGATGTGCACACCCTCCCAGCGACAAGGGCAGAGGGCTTTAAAAGAAGATGATGATTTACTGTGGGACGGAATTGATCAAAGTGTGGTCACGTTCTATAAATAGCCCTCAGGGGGGCAATCCCGGCCGGCGGCGCTGGGTCGCCCTCCCCGCACACGGACTCACTGCGCGCTCTCTCTCTCTCTTGTTTGCAGGCAGATGATGGGGCGCTTTGGTAAGTAAGCCCGGGCGGGGTGAAGGTGGGGGGTCAGGGGTGGTGGGCACTGGGCTGGCCCGGAAGCCCCCAGGGTTCACGTGGGGCCGCAGGAGCCCTGTGCTTTTAGCTGCGCTGGGACCCTCGAGGAAGCTGGGGCTCCCCGGGGCTCCCCGTGGGCCCTGTGCTGGGGCCGTGGTGTGCTTCTCCGAGCAGGGAGGGGCCGGGCGGGAGGAGAGGAGTGTGGGTGACAGCACGTGCTCCCCCGCAGGGACGCAGCCCGAGTGGAAACCAGGACAGCAGGGAGGGCAGAGGTGCCGGCTTGCATGCGAGCGTGTTAGCCAGGGGAGACTTCCTGAAGGGGTGGAGCCTCCTGCCTTAAAACCTCTGCTCAGCCAGCTCCCTTCCAGGCACAGCCCTGCCTCTGCCCCGCTGGGCACACTGGCCTGCCCCGTGGCCTCTCTGTCCCTCTCTGTGGAGTGGGTTGGTCACAGTTGCTGGGCAGACGACGTGAGAGTGAGCACGGGATCTACTCGGCCGCCGGCTCTCCTTCTGCGGGGCGGTGGTTAGGGTTCCCCAGAGCTGGTCCCTGCCCGTTGGAGCCCCGTGGCCCCGTCTGCACCTCGGCGAGGGGTGGCGGATGGAGGGACAGCTGTGGCAGCGTGGACACCAGAGGCAGCCTGAGCCAGGCGCACTGCTTTGGAGACTATTCCAAAAGCATCGGCCCCCAAATACCATGTTCCGCAGTGAGCGGGTGGGAGCATGTCCGCAGGGAACGTGGAAACCCAGCAGACGTGTCCGCGTGTGCTCGGGGGCCTGCCGGCCTGGAGCTGGTCCGGGAGCTGCAGGGCCCCGGGGGAGCGTCCCCCGGAGCTGTCCCGGGGCTGTGGGGGTCCAGGGGCACCCCACTGCTACCTGTGTATGAAGAAGGCTCTTCGGTTCTCAAAGGTCTTAAACGTGAGACGACGCCACAGTGACGCTTTCTTAGGTAGGCCTGAACACGGGCCTGGGAATCCCCGTCTGCCCTGTGTTTTAAGTAGCAATTCAGGTCTTTTCTGTGTCTTTATTAATTAAACAAATGGGGGTGCAGAGGAAAGGAATCCGTCACGTGCCAGTTGCTGTGGGCAGAGTAGCAGTGGGGAGTGCAGCTCACTGCAGGGCCAGCGTGGGGCGCCCCGAGTGGACGGGCATGTGGGCGGCCTGGCCCTGTCTGGGGAGGCCCGTCTGGGGGCGCAGTGCATGGTCTGCGGCTTCCCTGTCCTTGCCGCAGGGGGTCCTAGACCTCTGGATTGTAGAGGCCCGGGGGTGACGAGTGGGGCCCGCGGAGCATTTGAAACTGTGGTCTGCGGTTTTCTGTGTGTTGGCACCTCTGTGTTTGGGACAGGCCTGCTCCAGGTGTCAGAGACCTTGGGGGGCTGTGTGCAAGAGAGAGGAGACGCTGGGGGAGGGGCCCCGGCAGCCTGTGAGCGGGCGCTGCTGGGGCTGGTGCCAGGACCCGACTCCTGGGTGAGAGCCAGGTGTCACGGTGTGTGAAGGGGACATGGGGGAGGGGGGCCCGGAGCATGGGGGGCAGGGACGTGGAGCCACGGAGCCCGAGGACTTGGCCTCATTCCTGCACAGGCTCTTGCATCCGTGTGAGATGCAGAGGCTGTTAGTGGGTGGCAGGCAATTAGTTCCACTCCCTGTTGGCTTCACTGACGCAGCTGCCGGGTCTCCTGGTTCCCACGCCAGCAGCCTGGAGCAGCGGGCCAGCCTTCTCCTGTGCACACCTTCGCCGCCGCCAAGGTGGGATCTCCCCCAGGGTACTGGCCCCCGCTGGCCCCTCTAGTTGATTCCTTTGCACTGTCGCTGGGGCCAGGCTTCCTAAGCACCCCTTTACCCCTCACTCCTCCTCACCACCCCCACCTTGGTTTAGGACAGAACCACGGTCCTTGCAGTGGCCCTCCTGGACGCCCCCTCCTGGTCTCTGGCCTCCTCGCTCCCCTACATGTCCAGCCTGCGTGTGGCTCCCTCTCTGCCCCCAGGACACTTCCCTTCAGCGTTCACACCGCAGAACCCTGCGCTGGGAATGCTCTCCCTCCAGATTCCCCCATGGCTCACGCCCTCACCTCCAGCTCTCCCTCAAATGTCACTTACCGGGGGCCCTCCCTGAGCACCCTCTGCTCCTACTGCCCCCACCTCACCTTATTCTTTCTTTACTCGTGTCTCCGCTCACAGGAGGCACCTTGCTGTGCTCACTCGCGTCAAGCCCCGCCACGTGTCTGGCGGGCACGGGGAACCTGGCAGTGTGGGGACCCCGGCCCTTCTCACTCTCCGTTAGCACATGGCTGCCCGAAGAGTAAGCGTCTTGGGGGCTGGAGCCGGGTCTTCCTCAGTGCATGGCCCAGGAGCTTCCAGAACAGCAGGCGGACGCTCCCTGGCTGGTGTCCACCCCTGGGCTTCGCAGAGCGTGTGTCCCTGGCCTCAGTGTCTCCCATAAGCTCTCTGAGCTAGGGAGGGAGGGTCCACTCTGCCCCCCACCCCCTACCCCCAGCTCCTGACATCATTGCTAGGGGAATGGGAAGCCCTTCTCTCCCCAGGGGAGTTGGGGAGCTGCAGCCTGATCTCCATGGCAACGGGTTTGCTGGTTGTCTTTCTCTGAATGCGCCCCCTCCCCCTCCCCGGCTTCTTCCCAGAGCCCCTTCCTGGGTAAGTGGGGGAGAAGGGAGGAGAAGCTGTCTTCTTCTTCCCCTCCTGGCCCCTCTGGGTCACCCACCCCCCGTCTGCCGCTGGGCCTGTTCCCACACCTCTCCTGGTCATGGACCCTGAGCCCGCGGGACCCAGCCCCCTCGCCTCCCTCACAGGCCACCCGGTGTGGGGCCCTCTCTGCTTTCTGTTCTCTGCCCGGAACCCCCTTCCAGTCTTCTCGTCCCGTGGGACCCCCTCCTCGGGCCCCTGTGTCCCAGGGCCCTGAGCGTAGACGCCTCCAGGGACCGGGCTGATCACATGAAAGGGAGGCGGCCGGAATATCTGATGGTAACAGGCAGCTGCCCCTTGGCCTCTGGGGGTGGCAGCGGGGAGGGGTGGGGTCTGGGGCAAAGTGCAGAGTCCACAGTGCACTTCGAGTGGGGCTCGCTGATGTCAGGTGGGAATGTGGATTCGTCGGTTCTTGAAGAGAAGCCAGAAACTCAGAACTATGGATACAACTTCCAACTTAAAAAACGACTCAAACAAAAACAACTTTTCCTGGACCAAACCAGACATCCCTGAAGGCTGAGCCTGGCGGACACTGGCACACGCCAGTTGACTCGGCCCCTTTCGGTGTCCTTTCTGGCCACCTCGGTTTACCCCTCAGCCCCTCCCAAGGGCAGGGCTGCTCCCTGTTTGTTTCTGTGACCCAGAGGAGGGTGTTTTCACCCCCCACTTTACCAGGAGCGACCTGCCTGAAGTCAGGGGACTGTGGAGTCGGGCAGCTGGGATTTGAACCCAGATCCATTTTCGTGCCCAAGGCCAGGCGCGGGGTGCAGCGAAGGCCTGCGGGCCCTGGTGACGCCGCTCTGTTGCCCTTCCTCGCCCCGACTCTGCGAGCCCCGCGGTGCCCGGCTAAATATACCCCGCTGACGTCAGCGCTGTGCTCTGGGGTTTTCTCAAACTGCATTTAAAATTCGTGTTTTGCTTTGTAAAGATTAGCTTTTCCCCTCTTCAGCCGGCCGTCTGATTGAGTATAATCTGACTTAGACGATTACAGCAGTAATTGACTTGGGCAGAGGCTTCTGCACCCCACCCCCACCCCTCACACACGCCTGGTCCCCGTATGCATGTGTGCACCTGTCACACACCCACACCCCTTCCTTCTCTCCCGCCTTCTTCCCTTTCACCTTCCCCCCTCCCCAAAGCCGCAGGAGGCAGGGGCTGGGCTGTGAGGGGCCCTGCGGCCCTGCCCTGGGCAGTGGGGTACAGAGCTCCTCCCTGTCACCTGGCTCTGCAGCTCCTCGGGCCCTCACCTCCTTTTCTCATTGTCCCCAACCCCTGCGTCAGGCCGGGCAGGACTGAACGTCCCCGGGCTGGCTCTGGTCCCGGAGGAGACCCCACCCCCGCCCGCTGGGCTGGGTTTGGGCCTAAGCCCTGGCTAGTGACAGAGGACCTCGTGCTGACCCCAGAAACCTGGGGGGTCAGCGGCTCCTTCAGGACAGAAGTCAGGAGCCCCAGGCCCTTCCAGACGTCCTCCTCTCCTGCCCTCCTGCCCGGCAGCGACTCCCACAGCCCTGCCTCCACCCTGGAGACCTCAGCCCCGGCCTGGGGTCCTGCTGGCAGTGGTCTCTGCCCTGCCCGCCACGTCCCCCCGCGGCTTCAGCCTAGAGCCGGGCCCCTGGCCCCCAGCCAGCCCGCTCCTTTCTCAGCCCCAGGGAGGCAGGGGCTGCGCTGACAGCCGCCCGTGACCTCGCGCGGGGGGAAGGTGGGATTCTGTGTTGGCTGGTCCCCCACGTGGGTTAGGGCTCGCCTGGGCAAAGGGAGATGGGTGGGGTGGTGAAACGGACCCCCTCGGGCCCCGAAGATCTTCCCACAGGGGTACCCTGGAAGCGTGCAGAGACTCTGGAGCAGCGTCCCCTCTGTCCACTCATGTGTTCTGAGCACTGGCTGCGGCCCCTCCCTGTTCTGGGACGAGGGACGGTGGTGCCAGCCCTCCGGCGCTGACTGCCCAGCGATCCGGAGCAGACAAGTGAGGAGGAGCCTGCGGCGTAGTGACTAAGCAGTAGTGACTAAGCGCTGTGGAGAACGCCCCAGGGCAGGAGGAGACTGGCAGGGGCTGCTCTGCTCCCGGCTCAGGGAAGGCCCTCAGGAGGCAGTGCAACCGGCAGGAAGGGAGACAGGTGAACAGCAGGTGCAAAGGCCCTGCCGGGAGCGAGTGACAGAGAAGCAGCCCGGAGGCCGGTTGGCGGAGTCAAGTCAGGGAGGGTGAGTGTGTCCGGGACGATGCTGAGCTCCGAGAGTCCCGTGGGCCCATAGGAAGGAGAATGGTTGTTTTTTTTTAAATCCTTATTGTTGGATGTAAAATGTATTACAGATGTTCCACATTTTTCCCCCATTAACCCCCTCCTCTCCCCTCGCGCCCCCCTCCCGCCTTTTCCCACACTATTGTCTGTGTCCATTGGTTATGCATATAAGTTCTTTGGTTTATTTCTTCCCACCCCCCAACCCCTTTCCTTTGAGGTTTGTCAGTCTAGCAATGAATTTGTGCTTCTTAATCCCTTCACCTTTTCACCCATTCCCCCAACCCCCCTCCCAACTGGCAACCAACAAAATGTTCTCTGTATCTATGAGAATGTTTCTGTTCTGCCTGTTCATTTTGTTTGTAGATTCCATTGTCGATAGATATGTATTCATTGCCATTTTGTTTGTTCATATGTTTTATCTTTTTCTTCAAAAAGACCCTTCATCATTTCATATAATAATGGTTTGGTGGTGATGAACTCCTTTAACTTTTTTTTCTCTGGGAAACTCTTTATATGGCCATGGATTCTAAATGACAGCTTTGCAGGATAGAGTAATCTTGGTTGTAGGTTCTTGCTTTTCATCACTCTGAGTATTTCTCGCCACTCCCTTCTGGCCTGCAAAGTTTCTTTTGAGAAATCAGCTGACAGTCTTATGGGAACTCCCTTGTAGGTAACTAGCTGCCTTTCTCTTGCTGCTTTTAAGATTCTCTCTTTGTCTTGAGAACCTTTTGCATTTTGATGATGATGTGTCTTGGTGTGGGCCTCTTGGGGTTCATCTTGTTTGGGACTCTCTGTGCTTCCTGGACTTGTATGTCTGTTTCCTTTACCAAGTTAGGAAAGTTTTCTGCCATTATTGTTTCAAACAGGTTTTCGATTTCTTGTTCTTGCTCTTCTCCTTCTGGCACCCCCAAGATGCGGATGTTGGTACGCTTGAAGGTTGTCCCAGAGGCTCCTTACACTATCCTCATTTTTTTTTTATTCCTTTTTCTTTTTGCTGTTCTGATTGAGCATTTTTTGCTTCCTTATATTTCAAATCGATGGTTTGCTCCTTGGATTTACATACTCTATTATTGAAGCTGTGTAAATTATTCTTTATTTCAGTTAATGCCTCCTTCATTTCTGACTGTGCATCCAGGCCCTCCCTAAGTTCACTGAGGTTCTCACTAAGTCCATTGAGCATCCTTATAAGCAGTATTTTGAACTCAGTATCTGTTAGGTTGCTTATCTCCATTTTGCTTAGTTCTTTTCTTGGGGTTTTGTTCTGTTCTTTCATTTGGGACCTGTTTCTTTGTCTCCTCATTTTGGCTGCCTCCCTGTGTTTGTTTCTGTGTATTACTTAACGAGAGGTATGGGGCTCGCTGAGACCAGATGCTGCTCGTTTGGAGGAATTTAGGAAAAACCTGAAGCGGGATCCAAGACAGGCCAATCCTATGGTTAAGCAAGTGGCAACAGCTTGGGTGGGCCTGAAAGTTGCGTGGGGCAGGGCGGGGCCTCAGGGGGTCAGCAGGGTGGGGCTACCAGTGTGAGCCAGGTTGCTGGGGTCCCAGATATGGCGACTGTCTGCCGCCCCAGGGAAGGGCTCACCAGAGGAACAAAGGCCTCTGACAGCACGTTTGTCCCGGAGAAAGCCCCCTCTCCAGCCCTCGCTCCAATGCCAAACAGCTCAGTTTTTCCCTGTATGTCTCTGGCGCCCCTCGAGCTGCCTCCCCTCCAAGCTGAGAGGGAGCGAGTCCGATAAGTTCGCGCGCGGGCCCTTTAAGGAGCTGCCTGGGGCTCCAGCCGCCTCAGCCTCCCTGAGCCTCAGTTCCCGCTGGTTTTCTAGCCAGAAGTGATGGGGATTCTCTTCCTGGCACTGGGACCCTGAGCGGGGCACCTGGTGTGGGACGGGGACCCCTCAGTCCTCAGGAAGGACCTTCCCAGCCATGGGAGCCTCCTGATTTTTATCCGCCACACGTGGGTGTGGGACCAGCCCGTCGCGCCACCGCCCTCCTACCAGTCTCCATGTGGCTGCTGCTTTAATTCCGTAGTCGTAGGACTTCCATTCAGCTTGATTTCAGGCGGTTCTGAATGATGGTTGTTCTGTAGTTTAGTTGTAACTTTGATGTGGTTGTGGGAGGACGCGATACCGCGGTTACCTACCCGCCACCTTGACCGGAAGTCGGGAATGATTTTTATGCTAAGAGTAAGAAAAAGTTGTCGGTCAGTTTTAGTGGGGGCAGGGTTGGGAGAAGGCAAGAAATGGTCTAATTTACACTGTAAAAAGCTTGCCCCACCCGCCGGGGGAGTGGATCTGAGGGGCTCGGCGTGGGGGAGGGACACGTGTTAAGCCAGAGGCTGGAGCTGTGCCAGGGGAGGGCGCTGCGCAGCGGGGGGCAGATGTCCAGTGGACTCAGGATGTACTGGAGACGCGGAGTGCGGGGAAGGACCCCTCCCGTCCTCGTCCTCGGATGTGACGGGGGCGGGCGCCCAGCTGCTCCCACGTGTTCCTGTCGGAAGAAACACCCTGTCGAAGGGGCCCCAGAGGCATCTTCTTGCCAAGGCTCTTCAGCTCTGGGCTGGCTTCCCGAGGGCCGAAGCTGCCTCTGCCTGGGCCGGCCGGGCGGGGATGGAGCAGCGGCGCCGTGTCCACCCCCCGTCCCTGTGTCTCCCTGCACGCAGAGCGGGACGCCTTCGACACGCTGTTTGACCACGCCCCGGACAAGCTCAGCTTGGTGAAGAAGGTAAGCTCCCGGGCCGTGTGCGTCTCCTCGGCTCCCGCAGCCCCGACTCCGAGTGGGAGGAAGGTGGGGACACGTCTGAGGTCCCGCAGTGTCTGTCACGTGGCTGGAGTGTAATTACAGTGGAAACGTAACTACAGTGCGTCCAGTGAGCAGCTCAGTATCTCCGTCCCCGGGGACCGTCCTGCCCCCTCCCTGCTTCGTTGAGTGCTTCCCCAGCCGGCGTGGCGTTCATGCCCACTCGAGGCTATTTTTCACTGTGAGATGTTAAGCGTGTCGCCCCCTGGGTCTTGCTGGCCTCCTCACCATGACGCTGCATCCACAGCTGCTCAGTGAACAGGAGGCTTCTGCCGGCAGGGCCGTCCACACGCACGTGGGGCTGCTTGCCCACGACGGGTGCGCAGAGGACAGGCGGGCTGGGAAGCCTCGGGACGAAACACCCGCTTGCACCCGAGGCTCTGGAGTCGGGCTGGGGGTCTGCCAGGAAGGCCTGTTCTCCCCCGGCGGGAACGGAGCCTCAGCCCACAGCGCACGGCGTTGCCCCAGCCTCTGCAGACGACTCGCTGGGAAGGCAGCCTGCCCTCCTGTGAGATCTGAGCCGTGATCCTTTCTGCCTGCGACCAGGAGAGAGTCCTTCGTCTAGGAGTTTCCCCAAACGGCTTTCTTTTCCTTTTGCAAACACGCTTTATTGAGTTTAGAGAGAATGGAAGAGGGGGAGAGAGAGAGAGAGAGGAACATTGATGTGAGAGGGAAACATTGATCGGCCGACCCCCATGTGCACCCTGATTGGGGTCCAGACTGGCAACCCAGGCACGTGCCTTGACCAGGAATCGAACCTGCAATCGTTCGATGCACAGGACGATGCTCCAACCTACTGAGCCACACCTGACCACTGTATCCTTCCGAAGGCCTGGGCGGGCCCTGAGCTCCTGGGGGAGACCTGCCGTGTGCTTCCTTCTCCAGCTGGGACCGTTCCAGGCGTAATCTCATTCAAACCAAGGGTCATCGGAAGAACGTTTCGTTCTAAACAGGAGCCCTTTATTTTAGTAAACAGGAGACCAGGGAAGCGTTTCACAGCGCCGGGTGGCCCCCAGCCCCGGGTGGGAGCTGGCGTCTGTCCTGATTGCCCTGCCCCTCTGCCCTGACAGTCTCTCATCACGTTTGTGAACAAGCACCTGAACAAGCTGAATTTGGAGGTGACGGAACTGGAGACCCAGGTAAGCGGTGTTCCGGGTCGGAAGTCTCTGCGCCGGCCAGTGCTCTGATCCCGGGGCCCCGTGGGCAAACCGTGCACCATCTTGTTCCAAGGCTGGGACGCCCGCGCTACAGCCGAACCAGCCCCAGCCCCAGCCCCAGCCGGCCTCGCCACCTCGCAGACCCTCTGCTTATTTCCCGGGGCTGGAACAAAGTATCCCCAACTGGCGGAGACAACGGACCTGGGTTCCCTCGCAGTTCTGGGCTGCTCCCCGAGGCTGAGAGAGAGGTGGAAACATCGATGAGAGAGAAACATCGACTGGCTGCCTCCTGCACACCCCAACTGGGGATCAAGCCCGCAACCCGGGCATGTGCCCTGGCCGGGAATCGGACCGGCGACCCCTTGGTGCCTGGGGCGATGCTCAACCACTGAGCCACACCAGCTGGGCTAGTCTCCCCTTTTTGTAAGGACACCAGTCATGTTGGATCAGGGCCCACCCTATTGACCTCCTTTTAACTGATGACTTCAGTAAAGACTATTTCCAAATAAGGTCACATTCACAGGGACGCGGGGCCAAGACGCCTGCACATCTCTTTGGGGGAACGCAATTCAACTCATAACACCTCCAGGGTGCCATGCACCCCAACAGAGAGCCTCTGCCTGTGCAGGTCCCTTGGTCTGGAATGTTCTGTCCCGGGCACCTGGCAGATGCTTGCTAAATGCCCCCTGGTGAATATGCAGTGTTTTCTGCATAAGTACGAGGTACAGCTGATCCTCAAACAACATGGGTTTGAGGTACGGGTCCACTCACACCTGGATGTCTTTCTTTTTCTTTTTTTTTTTAATTCTCACCCGAGGACATTTTCTGCATTTATCTTCAGATAGAGCGGGAGGGAGAGAAGGGGGAAGAGAGAGAGAAACATCGATGTGAAAGAGACACATCGAGTAACCGGTTGCCACCCACACGACCCCAACCAGGGCTGGGGACAAACCACAACCGAGGTACGTGCCCTTAGTGGGAACCGAACCTGGGACTCTCTGGTCCGCAAGCCGACGTTCCAACCGCTGAGCCAAACCGACCAGGGCTGGTTTTCTCAGTGGTTAGAGCGTCGGCCCACAGCCCGAAGGGTCGAGGGTTCGATTCCTGGTCAAGGGTTGCCAGTTCGACCGCCAGCCCTGGTCGGGGTTGTGTGGGAGGCAACCAGTCGATGTGTCTCTCTCACATTGATGTTTCTCTTCCTCTCCCCCTCCCTCCCTCCTGCTCTATCTAAAAATCAGTGGAAAAATATCCTTAGGTCAGGATTAATAACAACAAAAAATATATTGGAAACATCTTTTGAGATTGTCTTACTCACCAAACGATCATATTGCTGTTTCTTTGTTATCAGGCACAAATCGTTATCCTTGTAAATGAGCATTTCTTTCTCACGTCATTTTTTCTCTTTGATGTCTAGTGTCAGTCACACACATAATGTCTGCAGGCTTTTGGACCACATGGGATTTGTCTTGTACACAGACATGTAAACTTGTGATGCCAGTGAACACAGTACAGAAGTATATGTGCATTTTCTGTTTCTTGTGGTTTTCCTTAATAACATCTGTCCTCCAGCTGACTTTATTGTAAGAACACAGTGTATAACACATGGCCTTTCGACGGTGAGGGGGGTGGGTGTCCTAACCCCTGAGTTATCTGAGGCTCAGCTGTAGCCTCCCCCACTCCCACTCAGAACAAGAGCAGCATTGCAAAAATAGGTTTTGAGCACTCAGCAAGTGTTCAAGACAAAATATAATTTCCCCAGGATTAGCTGGGGCTGGGATCCGGGGCCGGGCGTCCTGGGTACCAATTTCTCTAATACGCGGCGGATCTTTCTGAAAGCCCAGGGTGATTGCATTCATTCCTTTCTCCTTAACTTTCCCCATTTGCTTTTCTAATTAAAAAAGTAATTCAGGTTCATTGGAGAAATGTCTGAGCAGGCAGATAAGCAAAACAACTGAAAATCCTTTGTAATGCGTCTGTGCCACGAGGCTGGTTCCAGACTTTTCTTCCGCATAGGCCCGGACGGCGTGGGTCAGTATTTGAAAGCCGAATGGCCCGTTTAAAAAAAATATATATATATATATATATATTATTTTTGTTGTTGATTCTCACCCGAGGATATTTTTCCACTGATTTTCAGATAGAGTGGGAGGGAGGGGGAGAGAGAGAGAGAGAGAGAGAGAAACATCAATGTGAGAGAGACACATCGCTGGGTTGCCTCCTGCACAACCCCAACCGAGGCTGAGGATCAAACCTGCAACCCAGGTACATGCCTTTGACCGGGAATCGAACCTGTGACCCTTCTGTCCGTGGGCCGATGCTCTAACCGCTGAGCCAAACTGGCCAGGGCTGAACGGCCGTTTCTAGTGTGAACACGTGTTCTGTGAATTGCGTGCAGATCCCTGTATCGTGTTAGCGCTCTGCCAACACTGCACACACGGCCACTGTCTGCTGCTTGATCCATGAACAGTCCAGAAGTCTGCTGAGTGGGGAGTGAAAGCCCTCCTCACTCCCTCCCCACGGCCTCCCCCATCACCCTCTCCGCGGTCACCGTCGTGCGCGGATGGACGTGCATTTTTCTGGGTATTTTATGTGCACACGTGTTTTCCAAACGGCAGTGGATCCTGTTGAGCAGCTGTCTGTAATGTGCTTTTTGTTACTAAATATATTGTGAGCATCTGAGGGAGAGTGTGTGTGTGGCAGTCTGATCTTTCCTCCAGTGCCTGGGCTGCCATCTGTGGTCGTCTCTTTTAATAGCCGCTGTCTAGTCCCTCAGCTGCGTCGGGCCGGCCCCTCACGACAGGCGTCGCCCGCGCCGGCGCCGGCGCCCGGCGGTGCAGGGAGCCTCTTGGCCCAGGCCTGGTGCCTTGTCCGGTCCTCAGGGTGAACTCTTTAGAGTCGTTAGAGCAGAGGGAGGGGCCCTGAGGCCCAGGGAGGTCTGACCCCTGGCGCTGTCACCTCAGTGCTGAGGACACACCGTCCCCTGCGGTTCCGACTGCCCTTTCCCAGAGGGGCCCCACCCCAGTGGTAGTGGCCAGGCGTCTTGGACCGAGACTCTGGGCTTGAATTTTTTTTAATTTAATTTATTTTTTTTAATCCTCACCCGAGGACATTTTTTAGATATTTTGTTCAGATAAAGTGGGAGGGAGAGAGAGAGAGAGAGAGAAACATTGACGCACAAGGGACACATAGAGTGGCTGCCACCCACACGACCCAGGGCCGGGGACCAACTGCAACCGAGGTACATGCCCTTAACGGGAACCGAACCCGGGTCTCTCTAGACCTCACGCCGACACTCCAACCACTGAGCCAAACCGGCCAGGGCAGGGCTTGAATTTGTGTTAGTCTTTATTTGCTCCGTGTCCTTGCTCCTCTCCTGTGACCACACTGTGTAAAGTAACATCTCAAAGCTGCCTTTAGCCACTGGTCCATCAGAAGAGACCAGTGGCCACAGAAATGCAGAGGACGTTCTTCTCCTATTTCAGGGGAATGGTGTATTTTTATAAATAGGTCACCCTTCAAGTCCGGATGTGTGGGGGTCAGATTCCTGCTCAGAGGTGTGAGCGTGTGTGTGTCCGTGTGTGCGCACACACGTGTTTTCCCTCTTTTTGAAAACCCTGTGTATTCCGGGCCGCTCGCTGGCTTTGAGCCAGTCACTGAGCTCCGAGCATCTCCACGTGTCTGACCTGGAGACCGCAGACACGGTGAGGCTTAATGGGGGACAAAGCATTTAAAAGTGGCTGTGGAGCCCTGGCCGTTTGGCTCAGCGGTTAGAGCGTCCGCCCATGGACCAAGGAGTTGTGGGTTCCATTCCGGTCAAGGGCCTGCGCATACCTTGGTTGTGGTTTGATCCCCTGGCCCTGGTCAAGGTCGTGCAGGAGGCAACCGGTCGATGTGTCTCTCTCACGCTGATGTTTCTCTCTCTCTTCCTCCCTCTTCCCTCCCTCCCTCTCTATCTGAAAATCAGTGGAAAAATATCCTTGGTTGAGGATTAAAAAAAAAAGTTGGTGTTGATGATGGAGATAGTGAGGATGGAATCTTGGGGCCTCCCCAGGTGGGATTTCTGAGCTCGGGCACCCCTATCTCAGGACCCCCCTCTCTGTGTTTGGGGGCCCACTCATTGCTGATAAACTGCCACAGTCTGCCGGCCCTCACCCTCCTGGGGGCCCCTTTCCATTCCCGTGTCTTCCTTTCTTCGGCCCCCGTCCCTCCCCCCTGCCCGTCTCGGGTGGGTACAGCACCCCCGGGCAGGTGGTGTGGGTGGTGTATTTCCTCACGGCCCCCCTGGTCCCTGAAGGTGTCGTGATGACGGGCTCCGTGTCCTGGGCACGCCGGCTCTGTGTCACTGGGGGAAACTCCAGTGCTTCCCACCAGAGTGGAGCAGAAAACGGTCACATCCGGGGTACATACTTTTTATATTTGTTGTTGTTGATTTTGCTATTTATCTTCAGATAGAATGGGAGGCAGAAAGAGGGAGAGAGAAAGAAACATTGACGTGAGAGGGACACGTCGACTGGTTTGCCTCCTGCACGACCCCGACGGGGCTGGGGACGGCAGCCGGGGTAGTGCCCTTGGCCAGAACCGAGCCTGCAGCTCGTTGATCCAGGGCCGACGTGCTACCGCTGAGCCAAACCAGCCAGGCCTACATGACTTTTTAAAAGCACCCTCTGCTCTCCTTAAGGAATGAGTGACGTCTTCCTGGAAGAATGAGACTCGCAACACAGGCAGGGGTCACCTACCAATCAGGCCACGAGCCCAGCCTGCGGCTCTTGCCCCTGGAGGCCCTCAGGGACCCCGCCTGCCCACATGCCGCTGACCCTGCCCGGCCTCCCCGCCCCCGGCCAGGGCTTCCTGCCTGTGGACTCTGAGGCTTTGACTCTTCATCACTTCTCCTCCACTCCGGAGTCACTCTGCCCTCATCCGCCTCCCTTTTCTGTGAAAGGGGCGCATGGGGCAGTCTGCTCTGGACCCCGGTCCCCATCCTGTGGTGGGAGTGGTTCTGGGCGAGGGGCGGGGAGGAGGACTGGGACCTCGGGTGACGGCTGCCCCCCCCCCCCGGGGCCCGTCCCGCTGCCCGGGGCCCGTCCCGCTGCCCGGGGCCCAGCTGGGGTGGACACCAGATGCCGGCTGCACACACAGGTCATCGTCCCCAGGCTCCAGGATGGGGCAGTCTTGTCCGCTGCCCTGAGCACAGCCAGAGGGAGGCGCAGGCAGCTGACAAGTGAGCAGAACAGGGCTGCAAACCCCGAACCAGAGCGCACGGCCCCTGGGGCAGTCACGCCGTCATGGCACGGATGGTGCTCAGTGGGTCACCATCTCCCTGGAGCCACACACCGGACGTGGAGCCCGTGTCGTTCCCACGGCAGTGGTGGGGGAGGGGCCTGGTGGCTGGGAAGGCCGTGGCCCCACCCACGTGGCTCCAACTGCAAACACAGTCACAGTCCCATCCATGCCCGGCGCGGCGCCGGCACCGGCCTTCACCTGTGGCGGCAGACCCCTTCGTAAATCGGAGAGGGACAGTTCAGCTCTCAAACCTGTCCTCCTCTCGAGCAGCGGGCCCTCGCCGGCTCCGTGCACACTCCCCCGCATCACTGCTCTCTCTGCAGTTTGCAGACGGCGTGTACCTGGTGCTGCTCATGGGCCTGCTGGAGGACTACTTCGTGCCGCTGCAGCACTTCTACCTGACCCCGGACAGCTTCGACCAGAAGGTGCGCGTCCCCCTTATGGTGCACGGGTGGGGACCCCGACCGGCTCAAAACATAAGCCAGCCTGACTGGGCATCGCAGGGAGACGGAGCCCCTGGGCCATGCGGGCGTCGGTTCTCTGCCGGTCTTCCCCTCGGGCTGAGAGCGTCGTTGATCACTGTGGTCAGATGCAGCACTGTTGCCAGGCTGCCCCCTGCTTGCGCCACGCACGTGTCTCTCCCGGGGCCGCTGCCGCTTCGCCAGCGTCCCAGGCGCCTTGCTCAGTGGTGACCCGCTGTTCCGTTGGTCCCTGTGAAAACAATGGGCGTCTTCCTGAATCTGTGTGTTTCTTCAATTCCTGTGGGTTGTTTCTTGGAAAAGTCCCCGAAGAGGGTTGTTTGGTTCGAAGGGCCTAACCTGTCCTTTTGGGGTGCTGGTTCTCCGGCGTCGCCGCCCTGTGCGTGCGGCCGGGCCGTCCGCCTCCTGCCCGGGGCCTCCCGGCGGTCAGCCTGCCAGCATTTACCGCCTTCGGAAACTTGGCGTGCGGACGGACCGTGTTGCTGCGGACACACGGGCATCTGTCGTTTTATTTCCCCAAAGCGCTAGACCCATGAGTCAGAGAGGCAGGCAGCCAGAGAAACCTTCGAACGCGGGGCCGGGGTTTGTCCGCCTGCCCACTTCTGGCTGCTGGGATGGAGACAGGCGGAGGAGTCCGTGGGGCGCGGCGAGTGCGTGGGCACGGGGGCGCGGAGGACCCAGCCGAGCTGCAGAGCCGGGCAGGAAGCGCCGTGCGCTGACGAGGCTGGTGCGTGTCCAGGCCCCGTGCGGCTGGCGGCAGAAGCAGGGCTTTGAAGAGCGTCTTTCCCGGTCCGAATGGATAAGGGCGCTGGCAGGAGGGTGGATTCCGCCCTCGGGCTGGACGAGGCTCTGTGCCAGCGACGGGGCCATCCCCTGCCTGGCCTTCTTCCCTCCACGGATGACAGTCCTTGTCAGTCGCCGCCCTGGCCTGTTCAGTCCGCCTTCACCTCCGAGTGGGAGCCAGGAAGGCAGGCTGTTTTAGGGAGGGTGCCCATTCTGGGGGGTCCTTATCCGCCCGTTAGCCCACCCCTGCATCCTCTCCCCTCCCCCACAGGGAGCAGAGGTGTCACGGAGCCGCCAGGAGGGTCTCCCTGAGCCGTGATGTTTATCAACCTCCTGTCTTCCCGACACCTCACAGGCGATGTGTCCCCACGGCGTAGACCCGGACCCACTTTGGGTTGGTCCCGATACCCGAGCTCCCGGGCTCCGCGAGCAGAGGTGGTGGGTGGTGTCTCCTGCACCCCAGCTCTGGCCTCGGACCCGTGCAGCAGGAGACCGAGGGCCAGCGTCCTGGGCCCAGGCCACCAAACGACTCAGTGCGTTTAGGACGAGACAGGACGCTCCGACCTCAGGGTCCTCCCGGCAAACGGCCAGCACCCTCTCAGCCCTCAGAGGCCTGGGGACCGCGGGTTCTGTCTTAGAGCCTCGGCGAGTCTTACTCTGTGCTGGCCGCTTGGCTAAGTACCTGTGCTCATCCCTCATCTTCTGGAAGGTTCCACAGAGCCCCTTTCTCTGGAGTAGACCGTGTCCTGGAGACTCAGAGGTTCGAAGCAAATCGCAGGAAGGGCTCTAGTTTCAGGCTCCTTGTCCCTCTGCCCCCCAGTCTGCTCCTCTCTGTCTCTGACGAGGAAACGGAACCACAGAGGGCTGGGACAGCGCGGGGTCACAGGGTTGGCAGGGGAGGGGCCCGCGCCCTTCCAGAACCCTCCACTCTCCCTCACCTGGCCAGGTTCCCCAAGGTCCTTTAATTGCGCGAGAAGGGACTTCAGGGTGTCCTGTCATGTGGCTGGTCCCCACGGTCAGGGAGGGTGGCCCCAAAGCCGCGTTCTGTCCGCTGTGTTCAGGGCCCGGGCCCAGGAGAGGCTTCTCTGTGGACACGAGCACGGAGGGGTGAAGGCACGACCCCGAGGGTGGTGGCCGTCCCCTGCCTGCCAGTGTGCTCAGTAGAGAAGGAAGGAGGAGGGCAGTTGTTCCGAACCAGGCCCTGTTGGGCCGAGTGGCTGCGTGTGGCTCGGAAGGGAGCACCCTCCGAACTGTTCTCTCCGCGGGCAGCGTGGGTTTCACGACACCCACGCTCAGCGCTGAGCGGTTTCGAGGATTCCCCCCGTCACCCTCTCAGGGGCCCAGAGGACATAGCTTCCCAAGTCAGCTGCCGTCTGAGCCCGACTCTGTTCCTCCCTCTTTCCACCCTGTCTCCGCCTTGATCCACAGCCTGCTGTGTGCAGATGAGGCGCTCGATGGTGGTCCGCTGGTGGGGCAGGGTGCTCCGGGAGAAGGGGCTGCTCTGCCGGGGACACTGCACAGGGCTGGGCGCTCTGGGAGTGACTTGTCTTGTCCGAGCCTCGGTTTTCTCATCTGTAAAATGGGGCCACTGCCACTTCTCATTGTGTGGCCGGGGCCTGGGGCAGACACATGGAAGGAACCTCAAGGGCAGGCTCTGTGCCTTCACCCCTGTGTCTCCCGGCCGCCCCGATCACTGCGAGGGGAGGAAGGACCACTAGTGAATGCGTGGATGTCTGCCCTGCACCGGGTGCCCTGGGTCCTTGTGGTTATTCCAAAGGCCCACTCTGTCCACACTTGCTCCTGTCCTGCCCTTTCAGAAGAAAAGTGGTGGGCAGAGGGCGGGCCTGGCGACAGCTTCAGCCTGGCATTAATTCTGGCACCTGTCCTTGTAACCCCTGCACCTGTCCTTGTAACTCCTGCACCTGTCCTTGTAATCCTGCACCTGTCCTTGTAACCCCTGCACCTGTCCTTGTAACTCCTGCACCTGTCCTTGTAACTCTTGCACCTGTCCTTGTAACCCCTGCACCTGTCCTTGTAACTCCTGCACCTGTCCTTGTAACTCCTGCACCTGTCCTTGTAACTCTGCACTTGTTCTTGTAACTCCTGCACCTGTCCTTGTAACTCATGCACCTTGTAACTCCTGCACCTGTCCTTGTAACTCCTGCACCTAACTCCTGCACCTGTCCTTGTAACTGTTGCACCTGTCCTTGTAACTCCTGCACCTGTCCTTGTAACTCCTGCACCTGTCCTTGTAACTCTTGCGCCTGTCCTTGTAACTCTTGCACCTGTCCTTGTAACTCCTGCACCTGTCCTTGTAACTGTTGCATCTGTCCTTGTAACTCCTGCACCTGTCCTTGTAACTCTTGCGCCTGTCCTTGTAACTCTTGCACCTGTCCTTGTAACTCCTGCACCTGTCCTTGTAACTGTTGCATCTGTCCTTGTAACTCCTGCACCTGTCCTTGTAACTCCTGCACCTGTCCTTGTAATCCTGCACCTGTCCTTGTAACCCCTGCACCTGTCCTTGTAACCCCTACACCTGTCCTTGTAACTCCTGCACCTGTCCTTGTAACTCCTGCACCTGTCCTTGTAACTGTTTCATCTGTCCTTGTAACTCCTGCACCTGTCCTTGTAACTCCTGCACCTGTCCTTGTAATCCTGCACCTGTCCTTGTAACCCCTGCGCCTGTCCTTGTAACCCCTGCGCCTGTCCTTGTAACTCCTGCACCTGTCCTTGTAACTCCTGCACCTGTCCTTGTAACTCATGCACCTTGTAACTCCTGCACCTGTCCTTGTAACCCCTGCACCTGTCCTTGTAACTCCTGCACCTGTCCTTGTAACTCTTGTACCTGTCCTTGGCAGGTGCACAACGTGTCCTTTGCCTTTGAGCTGATGCTGGATGGAGGGCTCAAGAAACCCAAGGCTCGGCCCGAAGGTAAGGCCACGACCAGGTGCCCTGGGGAGAGCGGGCATGGCAGGACAGTGTGACCAGGTCTCTGAGTGGGTGGCTCACAGGCTGGCTCTGCTCTGCTGTGTCCCACGTCTCCATGTCCCCATGACTCCTACGCTCCTGGTTTGGAGACCAGGAGGGCTGACGGAGCCACCAGTGCTGGGTCTTTTCGGACCATGTGACTCGAAGGCTGTGGCCACGGACTTCAAAATGCAGTTGCCTCTCCCAGGGCCACACTCTGGCTGGGGATGCTGTTCCATGGCCTGGAAGGACATCAGAGGCCGACTGTAGTTCAGTGACTGCACAGTTGTGTCCCTGATGCCTGAGCAGGGAGGTGGCGTGTGCACGCTCCCCGAGGGGCGGAGGCCAGGGCCGAGGGCCCGCCTCCCTGGCCCTTCCTGGCACTGTGTCACGTGGCCCATTCCAGGCTTCTCTAACTGGAGGTAACATCTAAATCCTGGGAGGTTTTGTCCAAGGACAGACTGAGTCTGGGGCTGTGGGATGGGCCCCACAAGGCCCATTTCTAACAAGTGTCCAGGTGACGGCGATGCTCCGGTTTGGGGACCCCACTTTGAGAATCACCACCCTCCAGCCGCAGCACGAGTCTGGGGGGATGTGTTCCTTACCCTCTGGACGCCCACTCCGGGAGGCTCGCCAGACAGCTCTGAAGGCCCATCCAGGGACAGGAATTCCCTCCTGTGACCCGTGAACCGCAGCCCTCCCCAAGTCACGCGGTGAGGTCACAGGGTATGAGGACGAGAACCCGCGGCCCGCAGTGACGGGGCCCTGGACGCAGCTGTCATCCCCAGTGTCCTGGGCAGGCCGCACCACGCTGCCCCAGGAGGCCAGGCCCGCTGCCGGCCAGTGGTCCCAGCGCAGCTGAGCCTGTGGAGTTTGGTCCCCAGCGATGGCCTTGGCTGTTGCTGACCCCACACCACGCAAACGTCGTCATCACACTGGTCCCAGAAATCCTAGAGAGGATGAGGGGCACCTGAGCCGGCTGCCCCGGGGGCTCCTCCAGGGGTGGCAGCCTGGGGCTGTCCCGAGGCCCGTGTCTGGGATGGCACTGCCCAGAGCGTCCTGGAGGGCGCCCTGGACGCAGCACCTGGCCCACGTGCCCCCCAAGTGCCCGGGCTCCAGGTGAACCCTCCGTCCTGTGACGGTTCCTCTGTTTCCTTCCGCAGACGTGGTGAACCTGGACCTGAAATCCACCCTGCGGGTCCTTTACAACATGTTCAACAAGTACAAGGAGGTGGAGTGACCTCGGCGGCGACGTCCCCTGTGCTGCTCCGCGAGCCCGCGTCTTCCCCGCCCCCTCCCGCCCGCCTCTGTTGCTGCCCTGACCTCCTTCCCACGCGCCTGCCGTGCAGGGTCCCAGACCCGGTGCTCACGTCCGAGGCCTCGCTGCACCGGGGGCCTGGGCGCGAGTCCCTGGTTGCGGGCTTGGATGGAAGGGTGAAAGGGGAGAAAGCCGGACCCAAGCCCCCCCGGCCCTGGGAGGGGCCCTGCGGTCCAGCGGCGGGCACATTAGTGACCACAGGCCGCAGAAGGGCCCCTGCAGCTGGCCATCCTGGCGGAGTCTCCCGGGAGGGCTCTCCTCGGAAACCAGGCCTTTGATTAAAAGCCGTTTGCCGTTTTAAAAACTCCACTCTAAAGTTCCAGAAGCTTTTGCTGTGGCAGGAATGCCCCCCCCCCCATTTCCACGTCCTGGCCACTCCGTCATTTCCATTTCGTTTCTACGCCAACCTCTAAGCCCCGATGACCCAGCTGCCGCCGGGGAGGGAGGGACCTGCGGACGGATGTCTGTCCCGCGGAGCGGCCGGGCAGGTGGCAGCCACTCCACGGGGTCCCCATCTCAGGGCCCGTTGGGAACCTGGGGAAGCAGGCTGTGTGTATGCTCGGTGCCCCGACAGAGCCACAGGCCGGGCTCAGGCAGCAGGAGTGTCCTCTCCAGGTCTGGACCTGGCGTCCGAGACCCGGCACCCACAGCGCTGGTTCCCCGAGCCCCTCTCCCTGTGTCCTCCCAGCTCGTCCTTCTGTGTGTGTCTGTCCTAACCTCTAGAAGGACACTAGTCACAGTGGGTTATAGCCACCCACACGGCCTACTTTTACCTCAGTTGCCTCGGAACACCTCTGCTCCAGATGGTCCTGTTCTGTGGTCCTGAGGGTCAGGACCACACACGGACTCTGGGGACACAGTGCAGCCCCACAGAGGACGATGGTGTTCGTCTGTCTCCTCCTGGGGTAGGGCTTTCTGGAGCCCCCCTGGGGTCTCCCCCTGGGGTGTCTGCAGAGGGGAATGCTGGGCACTTGGACGTGCTGGTCACCTCTTGGCTCAGGAGAGGAAGGGGGAGCGTCGGCCGGGTCTCAGGGGGTCCTTGCACTGACTCACCCCTCAGCCCTCCTTCCTCAGCTCCCCCGCTGGGGTGTATGACGTGCGTGTGACCCCTGCCTCCCGGGGCGGCCCGAGCAAGTCAGCCTCCTCCGGCCTTTCTCTTCCCTGTGGTTCTCGCCTCCTGCGTGGGCCAGCGCTGGCGAGCGGGCCGTCCGACCCCGCTGAGCGCCACGCGGACCCTCGGGCAGAGGGTGCAGCACTCCGTCGGGCCCCGCTGTGCCCAGGCTGGGGTGGGTCAGAATGGCGGTGTTTGCAGCAGGGAAGAGAGTTACAACGGCATCGGGGCGTCTTCTCAGGATGAGTGACGTTAGGGAGAGGAACGGACCCGAGGCCGAGGCCGGAACCTTCTGTGCCGCCTCTGTTCACCCCCCACCCCCGGGGCCATGGGGAGAGGAGACCCAGGAGGCCAGGTCTGGGTCTGGAAAGAACATAGCCGTGGGGTTCTGCCAGGAGGCAGCGCTGCGGGCTCCTTGGCCCCTTCATGCCAAGGCAGGAGAGCGAAAGGGACAGCAAGAGGTGGGAGCCACCTCCGCCCGGCACGGGCGTCTGCCTCCAGTGCTGACCCTTTGAAAACGGATGTGACATTTTATCCAAATCGTTCTTTTCCAAGTTGGTTCAAAGGTGGACCACCGAACCCCTCGAACCCCTCGGGCTGCACGCGGCTGGGTTTCCTGGCCCCCTTCGCGGGGTGAGTCAGAACTCCCGGCGTGGCCTGGACGGATCCCGGGGCTGGTCCGAGGCAGCAGTCAGGACAGGCCCTGCTGGGGAACCGTCCTGTGCGGCCGACCATCCTCCCCTTGGCTGGGGGGCAGTGGTGGTCTGGGCGTGAGTTCAGGGTCAGGGAAGCTGGGGCTTCGTCTTGGGTAGCAGAAAAACCTTTCCTTCCTTCCAGAGAAGTTCTGGGACACATTTTCAGTGAGTTGTGCTTTTCTGTGGAGGGACTCTAGGGGAACCGAGTAATATCTCCTCTGTCCGCCTCTGCGGGTGTGTCTGGTCCCCACCCCCTCTGGCCTCAGGGTGCCTGCTGGAAGCTCGTTTCCCCTTAGACAACCACAGGTGTTATGCAAGCCGGCCTGTGTGTGCCCCTTGTCCCAGCCGGATGTGACACAGAGCTATGTCGTTGTAAAGCCACTGAATCCTTTTTTTTACCCCGCTCTGTGTGCCAGCATTTTATTGTCTTTTTAATTGTTTGAAGCAATGTTTACTTTGTTCAATAAAACAAAGGATGGTCAATAAAAGCCGCTCAAACCCGGGTGTGTCGTTGACAGTTTCTGCGCGTGCTGTGGGCCGGCTGACTTCCGAGCGCGGACTTGTCCTGGGAGACGCCGTGTGGGTGGGCATGGCACTGAGGTTCTCTGCAGTGAAGAACTCGTGAGCACGGCTGTGGCTGCCCCGTCTGGTGGTCACTGCTGTGCCAGCCTCGTGCTTGGAGCTGGGCCGCACGGTGCCCAGCCCGCACTGCCCACTGGGAGCTTGCGGTGGGCGTAGGAAGGGGCGGGGAGCCAGCTGGGGCCAGGGCCTCATGGGCAGAGTCCCTAGGGGCACAGTGGGATCTGCCAGGGGCCAGTGGGACGGGCAGGAGGAAATGCTGCTCCAGGAGGGGGGCCAGGGACCCTTGGGGGCCCGCGAAGGGGTCACATCCTCATGTTCCTCCTGGCCCTGCTCTCAGCCTGCGCTGCAGGAGTCATGAGGCTTTAGGCAATGAACGTCTCCCTAGCAGATGTCCAAATGGTGACCATTGGAGAATGGCTGGTCTGGGCAGCAAGACAACAGTGCTGTTTTATTATATTTGTTTATTTACTTTTTTAATGTGTGATACGTGCCCCTAGCAGGAACCGAACCCGGTACTTCTCTGGTCCGCAGGCCGACGCTCAACCGCTGAGCCTAACCGGCCAGGGCTTCTTTGTTTATGTACTTTTAAATATGTTTTTAGTGAATTTGTTTAGAGCGGAGGGGAGAGAGAGAGAAACACCGATGTGAGAGAGAAACATCAACGGATCGAGCCCACAACCCGGGCATGTGCCCTGACCGGGAATCGAACCAGGACCTCTCAGTCCATGGGTGGACTCTCATTCCGCTGAGCCACACCGGCTGGGCCAACAGTGCTGCCTTAAAAATACTAAAAATTACAAACTTGATGAAAGAACCTGGCTTTGGAGAGCCCACACTCTGCAGGGTGACCCCTCGGCAAGTCCACCCTCCCTGCTTAGATCGGGACATTTGGCAGCGATGTCTGGGTCCTGTCTGGGTGGGGGTGGGGCCACTGGCAGCACCCCACCGTGCACAGGACATGTTCCTCTCCCCTCGGGGTCCCCTGGCCCCAGAGTCTGTGGTGCTGAGATGGAGAACTTGCCTGTGCCGCCCTGTGCTTTCATCGGGTGGCATCGTCTATTGACGTCGATGAGGATGAAACACGGTCGGTCCTTTCAGGCCTTCAGGGGTTTTCAGGGTGCTGCTGTTCAGGGGACAGTCACCGAGGGTCTGTTTTGTCCAGGTGGCCCGAGACACAGCCAGGCCAGTGCCCTTGAGCCACGAAGGGACAAGCAGGTAGATAATTCACGGGGTTAACCAGGTGAAGGAGGGATCCAGAGAGCGGTTGAGGCTGTTGCGGGTGGGGGCTGGGGGCATTGAGGCCCTTCTGGGGAAGGGGGAGGAGAAGGGAGGGCTTCAGGGTCCCTTGTGGCCAGTGTCTGGGGAACCGTGACATTGCTTGGCCTCTTGCCCTCAGCAGAATTTGTAGAATCTGCGAGAGTAGAAGAGGAAGGGACTTTCCGAGGTCGTCCCTGGTGACCCTGGTCCAGGCAGCGCCAGCTCAGCACTGTCCCTGCAGGGTCACGGTCACTGCGGGAACCGGAACTCGCTGCCTTCCGCAAGGATGGCGCCTCGTGTTTGGGAAGCTCGGGCTTCGTCAGAGTCCATTTTAAGTGGACGTCCTCTGTGGAGCATCGTTTGGTTGAATAAACCGTTACTGCCCTCAACACCCACCGGGGCTGGGTTTTTACCTTGGGGCGGAGTGCGGGGACCCCATGAGCCCCGCACCGTGGGAATGGGACATTCATTTCATCAGTGTTTATTGAGGGTCTGCTGTGCGCCTGGCTAGGTCTGGGGTGCAGCCCGGACAAGGTAGACGGTGCTCGGAACTAACTGGAGAGTGGAGGGACAGACAGGCGGACAGGACCCACGCAGACGGCGTCTTGGGCAGGAAGTGGGCCAGTGAGGTGGGAGGGGAACCGGCGGGGGGCACTGGAGGCCGAGGGTCTGAGCTGAGACCAGCCTGTCTTACCGGCAGGATACGCCAGGCGTGTGACTTCAGTTTCATTCCACAGGGATCCCTGGGATCCCGGAGAAGTAGTTCCCCAGACACTAGGGGGAGCGCCCCTGAGTTTGCATGCACATGTCCCTACGGCACCCGGGACAGTGCCGCCCACAGGACACGGGGTCCTCGGCACTGATGACATCAGGTGGCAGAGCCCGGAGAGCAACAGCAGCGGCCCAGCCCTGGCCCCGGGGCTCAGTCGGCTGCAGTGTCACCCGTGCACTGAGAGGTCGCGGGTTTGCCTCCCCGTCCGCACACACCCAGGTTGCCCGTTCAACCCGGCCGGGGTGCGTGCGGTGGGCAACGGATCCATGTTTCTCTCTCTCTCGAATCAATCAAATCATCCTCGGGCGAGGATTAAAGAAGAGTCAGAGCTGCCCATGGGTGTGTCTCCGTGGGTTGTGGGCACCACGTCGGCCCTTGGCCCGGCAGAGACCACCCGGCTGTCCAGGCCCGCGCTCCCGGCCGCCTGGCGGAATCTCACACTGAACGAAAGGCTGGCTGTTCGGAGCTGCTGTGCTTTGGGGGCGGTCTGTTCCGCAGCGGCCGCCGAGCGGTACACCCACCTTGCCAGAGATACGTAGGAGCTGCCCTTGGCCTCTGCCACTTGAAATGACCACGTTTCCACTGAAATCCAGGAGCCCGTTTCTTTTTTTGGTTAATCCTCCCCTGAAGATATTTTTCCATTGATTTTTAGAGAGAGTGGAAGGGAGGGAGGGAGAGAGAGAAACATCGATGTGAGAGAGACACATGGATTGGTTGCCTCCCATACCACCCTGACTGGGGCAGGGGGTTGAACGTGTCCTTGACCGGGAATCGAACCTGTAACCCTTCCGGGCACGGCTGACACTCTAACCACTGGGCATACCAGCCAGGGCAATGAGCCCATTTAAAGGGCAGCATCTCCCAGCGTCATTCCCGGGCTGCGGAGCCCAGCTTTCCCGTGTACCCCCGGCGTCCTCTGGGTCTTCTCGGGGGAGCGGTCACGTCCGACACATCTGCCCAGTGCCCCGCGCACTCTCCGCATCTGGCCTGGCCACCGGCTGGGTCCCGCCCGTTCCTGCCAGCGCCCTGCACCCAGACTGGGCAGCGAGCACACTCCCTCCGGAGTGCAGCCCACCCAGGTGCGCTTCCCTGGCCCGGCTCCCCCGGCCCCTCCCCTCCAGGCTCCCCTCTGCTGACGTGAATTACGGAGCGTTCGCAATTTTGAAAAAGCTCTAAGCCTTTTTCTCTCCGGCGTGACTGGTGCCCGTGCTCTGCAACAAGCTGGACCCGACTGTCCTGATACGTCTGGGGAGGAGGAGCAGGAGAACTGGCACCCCCTTGCAAGGCAGACACCTCAGGGGAGGGCACGGTGGAGTTTCCTGGCAGGGGCGTCCTCTCCCGTCAGCACGGGGCCAGGGCTGCTTCTGCGCTGTCGGGATTCGCACGGGGGTCCTCGGACTTCTCGGCAGGCCACGACTCCAGTCCTAGGGTCCCTCTTCCCCCAGACAGTGCCTGTGGCCTGCAGACCTGGGGCTTCGTCTGCATGGGGACTGTGCACGCTGGGTCAGGTTCTGCATCTGATTTTCAGCTCTGGAGCCCTGCAACCCCAAGAGGTGAGGGGTTCTCCTGGGCTCTCCTGGGCACTCCCTGGGGCTCTGACAGCTCGGACGGGGGCTCGAAAGCCCCGAGACGGCTCCCTTCTTCCTTCAACTCTCTGGGAGCAAAGAGCCTCAGCCCGGGAGGAAGCCGGCTTGTCAGCCTGTGTAGGGACGGAAGCCACCGCTGGTCAGCCGGCGCTGGGGGAATAGGCACTCAGTTCTGGGCGCGTCCCGGTCCTGGTTTTGCCAGCGTGTGCCAGGGGTGCTAGAAGTCCCCTCTCGAGTGGTCCTCGCAACCGGAACAGGTGACCCATCCCGGATCCCCGCCCTGAGGCCGGGTCGCCTGCAGTGACTTCTGGTAACAACGCCTGTGTCCGTCGGGCCTTCGTGGCCGGAACTGGGACCACGTCAGAGCTGAATCAGAAAGGAAGGGGACAGGGAGTCAGGTGGTCACAGAGCCACCGGGAGCCGGAGGAGCAGGCTGAGGACGGTCCTCCAGCAAGGACCCCGACGAACACTGTGGGGCCCGGGCCTCTGCCTGACCATACGGCTGCGGGGACCACTGGCTTCAGCACAGCCTTCGGGGGGCACTTCCGTTCCCCTCTCAAGGGCGTTCTTGCCTCTGGCTTCCATCGGGATTGGCCAATGGAAAGTTAGGGTTAGGGTTAGGGTTAGGTTAGGGTTAGGGTTAGGGTTAGGGTTAGGGTTAGGGTTAGGTTAGGGTTAGGGTTAGGGTTAGGGTTAGGTTAGGGTTAGGTTAGGGTTAGGGTTAGGGTTAGGTTAGGGTTAGGTTAGGGTTAGGGTTAGGTTAGGGTTAGGTTAGGGTTAGGGTTAGGGTTAGGGTTAGGGTTTAGGGTTAGGGTTAGGGTTAGGGTTAGATTAGGTTTAGGTTAGGGTTAGGGTTAGGGTTAGGTTAGGGTTAGGGTTAGGGATCAACCTAACATGGGTTAGGGTTAGGGTTAGGGTTAGGGTTAGGGTTAGGGTTAGATTAGGGTTAGGTTAGGGTTGGGTTAGGGTTAGGGTTAGGGTTAGGGTTAGGGTTAGGGTTAGATTAGGGTTAGGTTAGGGTTAGGTTAGGGTTAGGGTTAGGGTTAGGGTTAGGGTTAGGGTTAGGGTTAGGGTTAGGGTTAGGGTTAGATTAGGGTTAGGTTAGGGTTAGGTTAGGGTTAGGGTTAGGGATCAACCTAACATGGGGCTCGGGCACAGCTGCTTCTCACCCCACCTTGTCACAAACCCCATCGGCACAGGGCATCGGGTGGCACTGAGTCCTGTGTCTCTCTCTGTATCGTGGGTTATAACTACCTGCCCGGAGGCCAGGCTCCTTAAAGCCCTTAAAATGACGTTTGCTTCATTTTCAGTTACTCAATAAATATTAGCAACAATCTTAGTGATACTTAGTAACTGTCAATGCATCACCCCTTTCCCGGTTAGCATGCTCACCTCCCGCCCTCTTTCCACCTGCTCCGTCCCTCTCTGCCTGACCGGTCAGCAGAGTGAGGGTGGTTACCGTCCCGGCCACCCAGCACCGTCCCGTTGCTCAGAGAACTCGCACAGTCGGCCTGGCTCTGACGATTCAGGCTCGAGAGGCCAGCCTGGGTGTGAGGTCTCTGACTGTCCTGCTGTTTTTCCTGAACCCCTCTAGGCCTCTGCACAGGCTGTTCCCCCACTGGAAGGTTCTCACCCACGTCCTTCAACTGGAAAACTCTTATCCATCCGTCAAGGCCCACTTTCTCCTCTGACAAACTTCCTCAGCTTCTTGGCGATGGCAGCCCTCACACCTGTCCACGGGAGCCCGCCCTGTGCCGGCCGTCGTTCTAGGCTCTGAGGCAGAGGAGACCTGCAGGGCTGTGGTGGGAATGGTAGCGAGAACCTACTTGACATGAGGCAGTTAGGGAAGGCTTCCCGAAGGAGGAGGCATTTAGGCTGAGATACGAATGAGGACTTAGCCATTTTCAAAGCTGGGACAGGGGCTTCTGGGTGACGGGGCCCCAAACCAGGAAGGCGTGGGGCGCTTTGAAGGGACAGAAAATGGTCAGCGTGGCTGGGAGGGCACAAGGGTGGGAGGGTTAGGAGATGTACCCAGCAGGTCACCCTGGGACTTGGGACTGGGCTCTGCAGGCTGGATTTCATGTTTATTTTTAGTGGATGCCGTCGATGGATTTTGAGTGAATTGGGACATGAAGCAGGTCCTGCGGTTGCCTGTGGGAAGGACTCAGGGGCTGGACTTGGGGTGTGGGAGAAGCTGGCAGCCCGGGGTCGGGGGTCCAGCAGGAGGCCTCTGCGTGGTCCAGGCGAGAGGAAGGGGGCCTGGCCAGTGGGGGCGTGGGGGCCTCAGGGGAAGCTGACTCCCGCCTGGGCCTCCGCGGCTGGTGCTGCCATTTGGGGACAAGAAATCTGGGAGGAACTGGCTTGGTTCAGCAGTGGGGAGGGCGAGGAGAGGAAGTGGACATACTCAGGAGTTGCCGCCAGGGGTCAGGGGCCAGGAGGTGTGGCTGGGTCCCGGGCGGTGAGCTTTCCGGTGGCCTGTGGTGGCATCTCTAGGAGCCTGGGCCTGCAGCCCGGCGGGAGGAAGCAGCCTCTCGCAGCGGGAGGAAGTGAGCCTGGGCCCCTGCCTCCGGGGGCCTGTGCCCCCTGCTGACCTAGGGGACCGGAACCAGCTTCTGTTTGGAACCCAGGGCTCCATTTGCGCTGCGTGACCTTCATTTCCTTGCGTGGAGGAAGCAGCAGGTGAGTCCTTCAGGCATCTCAGCCTCGGCCCCTGGGGCTTTCTGTCTGTCCTTCTGTCTGTCCGGGTTCCTGGGGGTCTGAGCTCACACAGGGCGGGCTCTGAGGGCCGGTGGACCCTGAGCCCCGAGAGCGCCGTCTTCGCCGAGGGGCCGGGCAAAGTGACCCCTGAGCCCCTGTGCCCCCCGTGCTGAGAAGCGGCCGCTCCTTCCTCCCCCCGAGGCCCAGACAGGAGAAGGCAGGGCCCGACCAGCGTAACCAGGTGAACAGATCCCCGTCCCCACGTTGCCCCCCTGTGCCCCACCCCCATCCTCACAGGGAGAACCTGAGGCCAGGGCAGGCTGGAGGCCGCATGCAGGCCAGCCCCTCGCCTCCTGTAAAGAATCGGGGACCAGAGAGGGGAGGGGGTGTGCCCGAAGTCACGCAGCCAGAACGCGGAAGAGCTGGCCTGTACCTGAGCCTCCGTGACAAGCTCTTTCCTCGGCTCTGGACACAGCCCTCAAACCATCTCCCGGCGTCCAAGGGGAGGCTTGGGGATTCAGGGGACAGGGCCAGCCCATCGGCTGTGTTCTCCCCCCTCCCCACTTCGGGGCAGGACGGTCCCCCGGTGTCCCCAGGCTGCTGGAGTGCCCGTGGCTGTCGCCCCGTGGGGGCCTCTGTCTCAGCTCTGGCCCTGCTGCGGGGCTGGAGGTGACCACCAGCTCGTTCATGCTGCAGGACACCCGGGCCCCAGGTGTCCATTAGGGTTGGAAACGCTGGGGAGGACCAGAGGCCGAAGGCAGAGAGACAGAGGGCATGGCTGCCCGCCCAGCAGGAGAGGAAGTCGGGCAGGGGAACAGGAAGGAGGCCCGGCCGGTTCTGAGTCCACCTGTCCCAGGCGGGAGGTGACCTGGCACCCCCATCATGGGGTGGTGTACACTCTGAATCCTGTCCCTTTCCATCTGGCATGAGTGTGAGCCCCCAAACCACCCCGAGAGAGAGCCCCCCTGCAGACAGCCTTGTTCAAGATTGGGGCCAGCAGGGCCAGGCCACCCTCCGAGGGCCAAGCCTGCATGGAGTGGGGGGCCCAGCCCAGCTTCAGTCCCCTCACTCGAGGGCTGGGGGCTTGGCTCAGGACCCAGCTGACCGGCTCAGGGCCTCCCCACCCCCTACAGGAGCTCGGGGTCTACAAATGCCATCATTCAGTGTGTTCACCCCACAGGCCTCCCAGGGCTCAGTGCTTTCTGGATTGGAGACGCTCTGAGGAGTGGCCGACCCCCCTTTGTCCTGACTGCGGGTGCGATGGGAGTGGGGCGTGTGTGAGGGGACCTCCTGTGCTGCAGGAGTGTGGTGGGCTGGCCGGGGACGCCCCATCCCTGCCCAGCTGGCCGTGTGCCCTCCTGGGAGGGAGCGCTGTCTGCCTGCCTCGTTCCGGGTCCCTGACCCTCACCTGGCAGCCCAGCGACTTGTCCACCCAGAGCCAGCTCCTGCCCTGTCCCCGCCTCTGGGTCTGGAAGAAATGCCGCAGAGGGCGTTTGGGCCACGCGGACGGTGACACCCTCTGTCCCCTGCACCCCCAGGGCTGGCCGGGAGGATGGAAGCAGAGCCCCTCTACAACCTGCTGCAGCTCCCCAAGCCGGCGGACCCTCTGGTGGAGGAGCTGACGCAAGGTGCGGCGGCCCAGCAGGGCCGGGGGCCGGGCGGCGCGGGGCGGAGGTGCATCACCAGAACCAGGCCGGCTGTGCCCGGGAACGGCATTCTTTCCAAGTTGTCAGCTGAGACCCAGTTCTGTCCAGCCCCTGCCGATGCCTTCCATTTTATACTTGACACCCCTTCCTCCCTTCCGGAACCTTCCGCAGCTGTCCCCATGCCCCCATAGCCGCACATCCCCAGGTGACATGGAGGAGGAGGACGCTGACGGCCATGCACCTGCTCAGCGCTGGTGTGCAGCCTCTCATTCACTGCGCTGAGGGGAGGAGCCAATACCCTGTGTGGGCGGGGAAACCGAGGCACGGAGCATCAGCTCTCAGGGGACCAGGTCACTCTGTATTAAGCTGGGAGCCAGCCCGAGGAGGGCGTCTCCAGGACGCAGGCTGCGGCCCAGCACGCAGTCCAGGCAAATTCTGCACAGACCTGCTCCCGTCACACGGTGGGGCTCGGACAGGCGGGCGGGACGGGAGGACGGGGAGCGCGGGTCCCCGCTCAGCACGTCCCTGTTTTCCGCGCGTGGGGAGTTTGTGGCCCCTGCCCTGAGTCTCTGTCGGGGAGACGTTTGGAGAGGAGGAGGAGGGTGGCTGACCTCCCCCGGGACAGCACGCACACCGGGAGGCGCCCGAAGCCCCCGCGGCGGGGTGCTGGTGAACTCCCGGAACCCCTGTAACCCGAGACGGAAATGTCGTGACGGAGAAAACGTGGGAAGTGATGGACGCGAAAGAGCAGAATGCGACTTGGTCCCGGTCCTGGGAACATGGCCTTTGACTTCATTTTTTTTATCCTCCCCCGAGGACATTTTTGCATTTATCTTGAGACAGAGTGGGAAGGAGAGAAGGGGGAAGGGAGAGAGAGAAACATCGATGTGAAAGGGACACAGTGAGTGGCTGCCACCCGCACGACCCAACCGGGGCCGGGGACAAACTGCAACCGAGGTACGTGCCCTTAGCGGGAACCGAACTCGGGTCTCTCCGGACTGCAGGCCGACGCTCTAACCGCTGAGCCAAACCGGCCAGGGCTGAGCACAGCCTTTTATTTATTTTATTTATTTATTTATTTATTTATTTTTAATCCTCACCCGAGGACATTTTTCCATTTTTTGTTCAGATAGAGTGGGAGGGAGAGAGAGAAACATCGATGTGAAGGGACGCATCGAGGGGCTGCCACCCGCACGACCAACCAGGGCCGGGGACAAACTGCAACCGAAGTACGTGCCCTTAGCGGGAACCGAACCCGGGTCTCTCCGGACTGCAGGCCGACGCTCTAACCGCTGAGCCAAACCGGCCAGGGCTGAGCACAGCCTTTTAAAAGAGGTGTGTGGACCCAGAGCCCGGAGCGGGCAGTGACACACCGGGACCGCCGGCCGTGGTCCAGCCGCCAGGCCGGCCTCGTGAACGGCCGGGGTTCCCCGTTGGTGACTGGTTGAAGATGGGCAAGCACCCTAGAGACACTGCTGTGAGGGTGTAGGCTTAGTTGTTAGAAGTCGTATTTATTTTTGTTTCACGGTTGCCTTAGGGATGGTTAAGGCTGAGCAGGAACATAGGAGGACTGAGTGGCCAAGCAGGGACGGGCTGTATCGCTGTGGCTCTTCATCGGTCGGCCGTCTCACTGCCCGTCACCCCCACGTCGTGCTGAGAGCCCGCCCGGTGCCCGGCACGACTGACAGCCCTTTCTTGCCGGGAGACACGGGCTGGGGGGTACATGAAGTTTTCAGAGCCCCTAGGAAAAGTCTCCAGCTGGGTCACGCAGACAGAGGTGATGCAACGTATTAACTTGGGCAGGGGTCCCCGTGTCCAACGGGACTAGATGATCCCTCAGGTCCCTGTCAGCTCAACGTGTGGTGCGTTCCATGAGTGGGGGAGCTGCTGGCCAGGGTCCTGGGGCTCAGAGGGAGACGGGTGGCCTCAGGGCCCTGCCCACACCCGGGACACAGACGGACGGTGTCAGATGAAACGGGACACCCAGTGAAATGTGGATCTCAGGTGGACGAGAAATAGTTGTTAAGCACGTTCCCAAAATATCAGCATTGCGGTGTCTGAGAAGGAGCTGGTGTGCACGAGGGGAATTCGGGGAATGTCACTGGGATGCGGGCAACAGCCTGGGTACGGAGAGCGAGGTGGGGCCACCAGGCATGTTCGGAAACCCACATCACTTCGATGTTTGGTGCTCAGGGGGTGTGTCTGTGTCTGTGTCTGCGTGTAGATATGTGTGTCTATGACTGTGTGTGTCTCTCTGTGTGCAGGTACGTGTCTGTGTATCTATGTGTGCAAGTGTGTCTCTGAGTCTGTGTGTCTCTGGGTGTGTGTGCAGGTGTGTGTACATGTGTCTGTGTATGTGTGTGCACATGTGTGCAAGTGTGTGTCAGTGTGTTCACGACTGTGTCTGTCGGTGCCATGCGTCCGTGTGTGTGTGACTGTGCATGTGTGTTCATGGGTGTGCATGTGCGTGTGTGAAGGTCAAGGTGACTGCGCCAGGGTGACCTGCAGGAAGGGCTGCCCGGGCTCCGCAGAGCCCCAGACGTGTGTCCTACTCACCTCTACTTCCAGGAGAAAAGAAGAAATTCCTGCCGCCCACTTCCCGGAAGGACCCCAAGTTTGAAGCATTGCAAAGGGTAAGGCAGCCTCTCTGACCCTGATTCCTCCGGAGGCAGCTTGTCGCCCTGACCCCAGGCCGGCAGGCGTGGCCCGCAGGCCCCGAGACGCTGGCTGCAGGAGGAGCAATTACTGAGCACTGACTGCACACCTTCATGCACGACCCCAGCGAGCCTCGCGGGGCGGACGGGGATCTGTTGTCTCCTGGGTCCCAGGGAAGGGACGACAATGCTCAGAGATAAGGGACTGCTGGGGGCAGCCAGCTGGCCAGCGACAGAGCTGGGGTTTGACCCAGGCCCTCAGCCCCGAGCCTGTGCTGCTTCACTGGGGCAGCTGGCGGAGTGGGCGGGCGTGGGCATGCCACCCAGTTCACGGCTCTGCCCTTGGCTACAGGACCAGCTGAGCACAGCTCAGGGCCTCCATCTTCCTCTGCCCGACTTCTCTAGTCTCCACGTGGCCTTTCATTGCCTCCTCCAGGGAGGCTTCCTGACTTGCACCATTTCCACCCCCAGGGGATCTGTGGCCCATTTTCCCCCCCTCCCCCCTCCCTCCCGCCCTGTTACTCCCTCCACCCACCCCTCCCACTGCCGGGCCCTGGGACATGGAGTAGTCCCAGCACAGCCCTCCTGGGAAACCTGGCAGGCTGCTGACACGCCATCTTTGTTCGGGTTCCTCCGAAAACTGACCCTGAGACGAGGATGTGGGTGTGAGCCGCTGAGCTGGGAGGTGACAGTCACGGGAGACCCGGAAGGGAAGTGGGGGAGTAAGACGGGGAGTAAAGGATCCCCCCAGGGTGAGTGATGGAGCAGGTGACGGCCATGAAAACGCGGGTCTGCTGGGCACGGCGGGGCCCGCGGACAGCACCTCGGCGGCATCCCACCTGGTGTTTATATACCAAGTCCTGCTTAGTTCAGGACACGGCGCCGGAGCACGGGCGGGGCGGGCGGGAGCAGCGGTGTGCAGCACCCTGGACCCGTTTAGGGCTGGGCCGGACACCCGCAGCCCCTGTGTTCCTGCCACCGTACACGGGGCAGACCACGGCCTCTCCGTGCCCAGGTCTGTGGTGGGGAGAAGCTGAGGGTTTTCGGGAGCCTGCAGCAGGCCCCTAACTCAGTCTGGGAGATCAGGGAGGGCTTCCTAGAGGCGGTGACGTTTGACCTGGCCTTGAAGGACGGGTAGGAGTTGGCAGGTGGGAAGAGGGCCTTCCAGGGTGAGGGCAGCGCCGAGCCACGAGAGGGGCCAGGTGAGAGTGGCCCTCTGGACCCGCAGGTGCTGCTGGAATGGATCAACACCGAGCTCCTCCCCGAGCACATTGTGGTCCGAAGCCTGGAGGAGGACATGTTCGATGGGCTCGTCCTGCACCACCTTTTCCGTAAGTGGTGCCCCGCCCAGGCCTCGACCTCCAGCCCCCGCTGAGCTCCGCTGGCCGCCGCAGTTCCTGCTTTTCCTCTGCTGGACCGCGGGCCCTCCCACCCCCACACCGGCTCTCGAGCGGGCACGGAGTGCTTGCTGTCTGCGGGCTGCCCGCCGCGTCGTCCGGGCTGCCCCCCACTGGGTGCTCCTCTGTCTGCAGAGCCCCAGGCTGCCCCCGGCCGCGGGCCCTCCCCAGATGCTCGCTCCCGTTGCCGTGAGGTCGCGTGGGTCTGCGGGCTGCCCCCTGGCCGCGGGCCCTCCCACCCCCACACCGGCTCTGGAGCGTGCACGGAGTGCTTGCTGTCTGCGGGCTGCCCGGCCGCATCGTCCAGGCTGCCCCTGGCTGGGTGCTCCTCTGTCTGCAGAGCCCCAGGCTGCCCCCGGCCGCGGGCCCTCCCCAGCTGCCCGCTCCCGTTGCCGTGAGGTCGCGTGGGTCTGAGGGCTGCCTCTGCACGAAGCGAGGAGGTACAGGAGGCGGGTGGGTCTGATTCTGGTCCTTGGTTGGCCTGGGGCCCGCTGAGCACCTTTACAAATGTTCTAGAACGGTCCCCAGCCCCACTAAGGCTTCCTGAGCCCCTCCCGTGGAGAAGATGCGGTCGAGCCCCGCAACAGCTCCCACTGCCCCCATCCCACCGGCGGACACATGCAGGCTGTGGCCTCGTGCTGCCCCAGGTCTCCCAGCGAAGCCAGCAGGGCAGTCGGGCTTGAACCGCTGGCCACACCGCCCTGCGAAAGGGAACGCACAGAGCTGTGGGGTAGCGCAGCGGGGGTCAGGGGAGGGGCTGCTCAGGTCCGCAGCCTGCACGCCCCATGCGAGGAGGGGGTCACATTTTTAAAAAAAAAATTTTTGCTTGCCCTGGCCGGTTTGGCTCAGTGGTTAGAGCGTCAGCCCGCGGACTGGAGAGTCATGGGTTCAGTTCCCACTAAGGGCACGTACATCGGTTGCAGTTTGACCCCGGCCCCGGTAGGGGTCGTGTGGGTGGCAGCCACTCAGTGTGTCTCTCTCACATTGATGTTTCTCTCTCTCTCTCTTCCCTCCCCTCCCTCCCACTCTATCTTAAGATAAATGCAAAAATGTCCTCGGGTGAGGATAAAAAAAATTTTTTTTCTTTATAGATTTTTTTAGAGAGAGAGGAAGGGAGAGGGAGAGACAGAAACATCGATGAGAGAGAACATCGATCAGCCGCCTCCTGCACGCCCCCCACTAGGGTCGGGCCCACAACCTGGGCATGTGCCCTGACTGGGCATCGAACTGGCGATCCCTTGGTGCAGGGTCAGCGCTCAACCACTGAGCCACACTGGCCGGGCGGGGGTCACATCTTACTGCTTAAATGCTGGCCAGGCTCAGCCTCCTGGAGGAGGCCCACTGGCTGTGGGTCCCCCTGCAGGCGCCCAGACTGTGTCCTCCCTTCACCCCCACCTCTCCTGCCCTCTCCCCAACTCAGAGAAGCTGGCGGGGGTCAAGCTGCACGTGGAGGAGATCGCATTAACGGCCACGAGCCAGAGGCGCAAGCTCGAGGTGATCCTAGAGGCCATCAGCCGCACTCTGCAGGCGGAGGAGCAGCCTGCCACGTGGAGCGTGGATGGTGCGTGGGCCTCAGCGGGGCCGGTGTCCAGGGCAGGGATCCTTCCGCACGGGGACGGCTTCTCTTTACCCACCAGGCACAGCTCAGCGGCCTCAGGCATGAGCACCACCTGCGGGCCTGGAAGGAGGCAGAAGCCTCAGGCAGGTGCAAAGTGGGTACAAAGTCACGCTCCGGGCTGAGGAGCAAGCAGCGCTAGGCACTCCTGTCCCTGAAGGTGTCACTGCAGCGGAACCCAGCTCAGGGACGATACGCCATCAACGCTGTCTTGTCCACAAGGCCGCCGGTATTCATCGAGTTCTGTGTGCCACGCGCCCGTCTGCCTGTCAGAGGGGTGCTCGGGCCCTTTTCAGGAATGCATTTCAGCTCTATTTGCTGCGCCTGCTTGTAAGAAATGAGGGTGTGCAGAGCGCCCCGATTCCCTCCTTGTTAACAGTTCGCTGTGAATTCCCTGTCATTCCCATCCCTACGTTTCCCCACTTCCCAGATGAGAACACAGAGGCTGAAAGGAGGGGGGTAGCTTCTCCAAGGCCTGGCGGTGATGTGACCGTTTCCACACCCACGTGGTGCTGGCCCCACCGCCTCCACCAGCTTCCAGTCTCACCCCCAGAGCCGGTGTTTATCATGTTGACCCTGGATTAAGTCACAGTCAGCGTCAATCTAACAACTTGCCCACCCAGTGTCCTTCAGAGAACATCCCGGTGTTCGATCCCTGGCCGCCGGTGGGGGGTGCCCGGGGCTGGGTTTGCAGAGGCGGGATGACCGGGGCCAAGCGTGACTGGTTTCAGGTCCGAGTGTAGATCTCCAGGCCCCTGCTTTCCAGAAAGCTGGACGCAGGTGTCCGTGGTCTACAGAGGGCTGTAGTGATGGTAAGGAAACCTCCCTGTGGCCCCAGGCAGCGGTGGCCCCTGGCTCTGACCTCGTGTCCCTCCCCCTCCCAGCCATCTTCAACAAGGACCTGCTGGCCACCTTGCATCTCCTCGTGGCTCTGGCCAAGCGCTTCCAGCCCAACCTGCCCCTCCCACCCAATGTCCAGGTGGAGGTGATCACCATGGAGGTAAGCAGTGGGCATGGGGGTTCATTGCAGAGTGAGCTTCTTGGGTTCATATGGCCATTCCCTGGGCTGGGGGATGCTGTGTGGGGCGGGGGCCAAGCCCTATGTGCTCTAGGGAACCATGAGAAATACGAGCTCCTGCCGGGGCAGCAGCACCTGCTGGGCTGGAGCTGTGGGCGGGAGACGCCAGGATTCCAGTGGAGCTGGCAGGGTCCAAGCAAGGCCGCGAGGAGGTTCAGGGGCTGACCTGTCCCTCTTACCTCAGCAGCTGGGACCGGCCTGGGGTGCTATGAAGGTCCTGGCTGATGGCAGCCATGCCACATGGGCCAGAGGTGGCCATCTGTTCAGGGCCTTTCAGGAGCCTGCACACCACTGGTCACAGCCACCGTCCTCCGTGCTGTCTTCATTCACGGGCCAGTGGCTATGAGATGGGTCCAGGTTTTCTCCCCCCCCCAGGGGTACTCTGTTTAGCATGTACATGGCTTGTGCTGTGGCGTCCGTGACTTCTCTGTCAGACTCAGCACCACAGATAGGGCTCCACTTGCTTCCCGTTACACCCCCTCCTCTGGTACCCAGTGAGCAGTGGGGCTTACCTTTACATTGACCCAACAGAGTGAGCTAAGTGCACCCTCACTCGGCTGAGTTATTCTTACTTTTCTCAAAACCTTTAATTAAAATGATCCACTGAGCACTTTTATGGCTCTGCTTATACTTATGTAAATCAGAGGGGACTCCATTTCTTTAGTCACTCACTTCATCCATCCATCCATTCATCCATCCATCCATCCATCCATCCATCATCCATCCATCCATCCATCCATCCATCCATCCACTCATCCACTCATCCATCCATTTATCCACTCATCCATCCATCCATCCATCCACTCATCCATCCATCCATCCATCCATCCATCCATCCATCCATCCATCCACTCATCCACTCATCCATCCATTTATCCACTCATCCATCCATCCATCCATCATCCATCCATCCATCCATCCACTCATCCATCTACTCATCCATCCACTCATCCATCCACTCATCCATCCATCCATCCATCCATCCACTCATCCATCCACTCATCCATCCACTCATCCATCCATCCATCCATCCATCCATCCATCCATCCATCTATCCATTCACTCATCCATCCATTCATCCATCCATCCATCCATCCATCCACTCATCCACTCATCCATCCATTTATCCACTCATCCATCCATCCATCCATCCATCCATCCATCCATCCATCCATCCACTCATCCATCTACTCATCCATCCACTCATCCATCCATCCATCCATCCATCCATCCATCCATCCATCCATCCACTCATCCATCTACTCATCCATCCACTCATCCATCCACTCATCCATCCATCCATCCATCCATCCATCCATCCATCCATCCACTCATCCATCTACTCATCCATCCACTCATCCATCCATCCATCCATCCATCCATCCATCCATCCATCTATCCATTCACTCATCCATCCATTCATCCATCCATCCATCCATCATCCATCCATCCATCCATCCATCCGTCCACTCATCCATCTACTCATCCATCCATCCATCCATCCATCCATCCATCCATCCATCCACCCATCCATCCATCCATCCATCCATCCATCCATCCACTCATCCATCCATTCATCCATCCATCCATCCATCCATCCATCCACCCATCCATCCACTATCCACCCATTCTCTCATCCATCCTTCTATTTCTATATCCACCTATTCATTTATCCAAACATTCATCCATCCACTCACCATTCACTCATCATTCAGATCAGCACATGTTTATTGACCTCTGTGAACCAGGCACTGGGTAAGACTCAGGGGACACGGGAGTACGAGGCAGACCCAATCCCAGTCTTTGTGGGGCTCAAGGCTCATGGGAAGAAGGACAATTAGCTGGACCACAGTGACAAGACTGCCCAGGAGGCCGCCCTGAGGGCTGAGGCAGAGTAAACTGGGTTCCTCCGGGCTGCAGTGGCCACTACAGACTGAGAACCAGGTGTGGGTCCCGGAATTCCCTGGGATGGCTCAATTTCTTCCCCTCGTCCTTCCTCAGAGCACCAAGAGTGGCCTGAAGTCGGAGAAGTTGATGGAGCAGCTCACGGAGTGCAGGTGAGGGAAGGAGCAGGGCCCGCTGTGGGGCTGGGCAGGGTTCTGTGGGAAATGGTGCTGGGCCGGGAATCCTGGGAGCAGACCCGCCTGACCTTCGTGGGAGGGGCCCTCACTCTGTCTCAGGCCTGGGCGGCACCCAGGGCCCTTCCATCTTGCGGCCTTCTCAGGCATGCCCTTCCTGCAGCTCATTTCACCCTCTCTACCACCCAGCACCGTAGGCAGAGTTGAGATCGGAAGGGCCTGGCCCTCAGGTATGAGGTCACACCGCAGCCGCTGGGGCCAGGAGGACCTGGTGCCGTGCTGGTGCTAAAGGCTGGCGCCCGGGGTTTCCTGGGAAGCCGCACCTCCCCACAGCCAGGGGTGCTGCAGCTGAGCGGCCCCAGCAACCAGAGGGCAGGGCCCCGAGGGCTGCCTCACCACCGCCTCTCACCGCGCCCTCTGTGCACAGGGCGAGCTCTGTCCTTGAGTGTCCGCTCAGCCAGCTGTCGGCCCGTCGTCTGTCCGGGCCAGCAGGAGGCCCAGCGGCGCTCTGCCCTCCTGGAGGCCACAGCCCTGCAGCCCGTCTGGCCAGGTGTTTGTGGGTCGGTCTGAGAGGGGCTATTCGCAGTGTGTTGGAGGCCCCTCCGCGCAGCGCCTGGCTGGGTGTCGCGCTCCCCGGCCCGGCTGACCCTCAGCTGGGAGAGTTCACCTCTCCGGCTCCCAGGCCGGGCAGTCAGCTCCAGCTGGGCTCAACCCGGCTCTAGATGTAGGGGAGGTGACCTTCCCCCTCCCTCTACTCCCCCAGTTAGGCCCCCCAGTCTGTGGCTCTGGATTTCCACCGGAGCAGGGTGAGGGATGGCCGTGCTGTGAGCTGAGCATGGCAGGGGGCTGGAGGAGGCAACCTGGACCTGTGCTGGCCCCCGGTCACCCCGGAGGAGCCTTGTCCCCTCCCACTCGGTGAGGCCCAGTGACCTCCAGCTGCCCTGAGCTGGCTCCGGTGAGGCCAACATTTCAGGGTCTAGAATGAGTTTGGGGGCTCGAGTGGGAAGGCGCGGTTGAAGTCCATGACACCACATTCCTCCACCCTTGGCACCCTAAAATCGCCCTTCTCAGCTCCTACGAGCTCAGACAGTGCTTGTGTCCTGGACCCCGTGGGGCGCCTGTCCCTCTCGGCCTCTGCGGTCACATGGAGCGCTGGGTCTCTGCTCCAGCCTGCCCCCCCCCCACGGCCGGTGGCACCGTCTGCCTCCCCAGAGAGCTCAGCCTGCTTTGGGCCCAGAACCTTGCTTCGAGGGGGCGAGGGCGAGGTGGAAAATTTAACAAGAAAGTCCAAGAAAAACCATTCAAAACCAATAAAAATGGAGTGAAAGGAGCCAGACACACAAGGGTACATATTGGGTGATTTCATCTGCACAGACTTCTAGAGCAGGACGGGCGTGAGAAGTCAAAGCAGCGGTAACGTTTGGGGGAGGGTTGTGGGGGACAGGAGGGCATACTGAGGTGCTAAGAAGGTCCCATGCCTTGTTGAGGGTGGGGATCACACGGGTATAAAAACGCACAAGCTATACACGTAGGGTCTGTGCATTTTATTGTGTGTGTAGTGCACTTCCCTCCCCTTAAACTGAAGCAGCAACCCCCAAATCAGCAAAACCCAGGCCTGTGTAGGTATGAAGGCCTCAGGGGACGGGAGGAGCCTCTGCCGTCTGCTCGCATGGGGCTTGCCTCCTTGCAAAGCTGCCAGCGATGAGACGCCAGGGTTCTTCGCCCACCTTGCCAGTGCCGAGTCTTGCCAACTAAACAACTAGCGCCCTCAAGGTTTTCTAACCATTTGTTTGCGTTTTTCTCCCTACAATTTCCCCCTTAGCACAGGCCAGGACAAGGCTGCAAGTGAGTACTTCCTGTCGGGTACATGTGAGAACTGACGCGTACCCACGCGCAGTGAACTTCTGGGTGCCCTCTCCCGTCCCCTCTGCGCTCTGGGTGTCCTCTCCCGTCCCCTCTGCGCTCTGGGTGTCCTCTCCCGTCCCCTCTGCGCTCTGGGTGTCCTCTCCCGTCCCCTCTGCGCTCTGGGTGCCCTCTCCCGTCCCCTCTGCGCTCTGGGTGTCCTCTCCCGTCCCCTCTGCGCTCTGGGTGTCCTCTCCCGTCCCCTCTGTGCGCTCTGGGTGTCCTCTCCCGTCCCCTCTGTGCTCTGCGTTTGTATCTCGGGTTTCTTCTGGTCCGTGTGTCCCTCTTCTGTCTGTCCTTGCCTGGACCTGGCTATTCCTTCTCATGATGCCACTCCTATGGGTGGAAAGAGTGAAAACTCTCATTGGTGGGGATGATGGAGTCGCTAAGTGTGTGGGCTCTGTAGCCAGGTGGCCTAGGTTCAAACACTAATTATCCTATTTATTAGTTATGTGAGCTTGGAAAAGTCTCTTAATCCATTTGTACCTCAGTTTCCTCACCTGTAAAGTGGGATTAATAATGGCACCCACCTCTGAGGCTGGCGATGAGAGTTAAAAGATAACTTGTAAATGTGCTTGGCACACAATTAGTGTTTAATAGTGATTGTTCAATAATGTGGCTGCTGCTTTAGTGACGGAGCTCCACCCATCTGCTGACTGATCCTCCCTTCCTTCCTTCCTTCCTTCCTTCCTTCCTTCCTTCCTTCCTTCCTTCTTCAGTCAGCTGGCCTGTCCAGCTGTTCATCTACTCATCCATCCACCTACCCACCCATCCATCCACCAATCCATCCATTTATTTATCTATCCATCAATCCATCCACCCACCCACCCACCCACCCATCCATCCATCCATCCACCCATCAACCCATCCATCTGTCCACCCATCCAACCACCAACCCATGTATCCACCATCCATCCACCATCCATCCTTCCATCTGTCCATCCATCCATCCATCCATCCTTCCATCCTTCCATCCGTCCATCCATCCTTCCATCCGTCCATCCATCCATCCATCCATCCTTCCATCCGTCCATCCATCCATCCATCCATCCACCATCCATCCTTCCTTCCATCCATCCTTCCATCCATCCGAATGTTATTTCTCCTCTCTGAATCCTCCCACTCAGGACACAGAGCTGTATGGGCAGGGGCTCTGCAGGGGCACCTCACCTGCAGAGATGGAAGTCGTGACCAGCAAGGAGCTCTAAGAACAGCGGAGAGGGAGGCTGAATGGGGAAAGGGAGGCGTGGGGAGGTGCACGCGGGTGTGTGTGTGTGCGTGTGGCCAGCACGAGGACACGTGGGGTTGCCCGGGAGCAGTGTGTGTTAGGGGGCAGCATGAAGATGGGTCATACGGTAAGGGCAGGGGCACAGACCAGGCCTCTTCGAAACCATCTAGCACATGCATCCTGCTCTGACCTGTAGCCCCTGCGCACGTTTGCCGCTATTCCTGGGTCCTCGGTGACAATTTCCCTGACCTCAGACCAAGGGTCCGGCAGGCACACTGGTGTCTGCTCCGTGACTATTGGTTTACGGGCTTTTCGATGGGCAGGATTGCCAGCCAGGGCCGTTCCTCCCCTTCACTAATGAAGGAACAAACAGGCCCAGAGAGGTGAAGTGACTTGCTTGGGGTCACACAGCTGCTGAGTGGCAGGATCCAAAGTCAAGTCTCCTTCTCCGTCTGTATATTCAGTGCCCGCAACCAGTCTCCCCAGGGGTGGGTGGGGGGAGTTAGCTACAGCTGGTAAAGACGCAGCTTGTGGGCAGAGGGCATCAGTCTGGGACTCAGGGCGTCTGAGGCTGGACCGGAGGCTGAGCTGCCAAGATGCTCCTGCTCCCAGACCCCGTGGGCGTGATTCAGCTGCGGAGGGTGCTGGCCGTTTGCACACTGCTGGCTCAGACACTCTGGGTGTGCTCAGGGCCCTCATTCTGCCAGTCCACAAACGCCCACGGCGGGACCTCTGGGCCAAGTGTCAGCCGGGGCAAGTCCCCTGCTCAGCCCCCTGTGGCAGCTCCTGGGGGCCCGTGGGTGGAGCAGGGAGCTGGGAGGAATCAGGGCCAGTTCCCAGAGGAAGAGATGGTGGCCGAGTGACCCAAGACCAGGTGTCCACTGCAGAAGGAAGGACCGTTTGGTGCGGTCCTGCTGCGTGCCCGGCCACCGTGCCGAATTTGATCTTTGCAATGACCCTACCTGGTAGGTGTTATCAGCCATACTTTACGGGTGAGGAAACCAAGGCACAGAGAGGGGAGGCGATTCCCCCTGAGCCACACAGCCAGAGAAGCAGTGCCTCGGACCCGGGCCTGTTTCTCAATTCAAGAACCTTGAGATAAAACTACGGCTCCCTCTGGACTGGTCACACCGAGAAAGTGGTGGGGAAAGTCCCCGTGTGGCGGGACGATGACAGCATGGTGATGAGGCTTTTCCGGGGTCTCTGCAGAGGACGTCTTCGATGAGCTGTTTAAGCTGGCTCCCGGGAAAGTGGACGCAGTGAAGGAGGTGAGAGCAGGCCGGTTCCTGGCCGTCCTGGCCCCCTTCCCAGCGCCCACGGGGTCGAGCCTGGGGGCAGAGGGGAGGAACAGGGCCCTGGTGCGCTCCTGCCACGGGGGGGTGCCGGAGGGGCTTTCTGTCCCCCTACACGGAACGTCACAAACCGGAGCCCTGGGCCTGGGTGTTTGTTCTTCCTCCGGCAGGCCGTCGTGAGCTTTGTCAACCAGAAGGTCGAACGCCTGGGCCTGTCTGTGCAGAACCTGGACACCCAGGTAGGCGTCAGCCGCGGAGGGGACCGCGGTCAGGGAAGAGGGCCCACGGGCCCTGGAGCCAGCCCGCCCTGGGTGGCCTGGGGGGTCACTTTGCAGAGCCTCGGGGTCCTCCTCTCCAATAGGGGGTGTTGCTGGCAGGCAGCATCGCCAACCAGGGACGCTGTGGGGATCCCGTGAAGTGGGGCCCGTGGGAGCTTTACGAAGGGGTTCATCTACGCCGTTACTTCTTCTCATCGTCAAATGAGCATTTTTGAGCTCTTTTTTTCAAAATTCATCTTCTACGACCATATACCAGACTCAAAGCCCGCGCGTGTTCCCCGTGTAACCACTCCCCCACCGCGCCCACTAGGTCTGGGCGGTGTGCCACGGCTGGGCAGCGACACAGCCCCGTGGCCGTGGGCTCCCCGTGGTGCACTGACACCAAACCGCCCGGGGCAGGGACTGAACCTCACACAGGCAGCATTTCAGAGGGCCGTGGCCTTCCCTGAGGACACTGTGTCCTGTGTGTCCCCGCGATGCAGGGGGCGTCAGGGAAGCCGAGCGGCCAGTTGCCAGCTTGGGGCTGGACGTGCTGGCCGTGTTGGGCCGGGGCTACACTTTGGCATGGCCGCGCGTGGAGAGGTCAGGTCCGGGCCGAGATGGACCGCATGGCTTGTGGTGATCTTAACCGGAGCTGCGGAGTCCTCCGACCTACCCTGACGTCGGCCAGCGGGACCTAAACCGATGAGCTCTCACTTTGGGCCAGACCCTGAGCAGAGCATTTCACAGGCGTCCTCTCTCGGGGGCCTCCGACAATCCCGAGCTGGGAACTGATACGCTCCCATTTTACAGACGAGCAAATCAAGGCACAGAGAGGTTAATGAACTCATCCGGGGTCACACTGATGTGTGGCCCCGGGATTTGGACCCAGCCTGCAGCGGCCAGAGTTTGTGCCCATCACCACCTCACGTGGTGGCCACGTGAGAAGTCTGTGTGTGATATGGTTGGTGCCTGGCAGGGTGCAGACGCCAGACACCAGGTTTTGAAGCCAGATGGACACCTGTTGCCCCTGGGCCCTGAGGACACCTCCACATTGGCTGTGTGGCCTTGGGCCTGGGCTTCTCTGAACCTCAGGCTCCTCTTCTTTTTTTTTGTCTTCATCTGGGGACATTTTTCCATTTTTTGTTTAGATAGAGTGGGAGGGAGAGAGAGAAAAAAAATCATTGATGTGAAAGGGACACATCGAGTGGTTGCCACCCTCACGACCCAACCAGGGCTGGGGACAAACTGCAACTGAGGTACATGCCCTTAGCGGGAACCGAACCCCGGTCTCTCTGGACCGCAGGCTGATGCTCTAAATGCTGAGCCAAACCGGCCAGGGCGGCTCCTTTTAAGTTTGTTTTTTTATTTTTATTTTTTTTTCCTTTATTGATTTTAGAGAGAGAGGAAGGGAGAGGGAGAGAGAGATAGAAACATCGATGAGAGAGAACATCGACTGGTCGCCTCCTGCATGCCCCCCACTGGGGATCGGGCCCACAGCCTGGGCATGTGTCCTGACCGGGAATCGAACTGGCGACCTCTTGGTGCAGGGTTGATGCTCAACCACTGAGCCACACCGGCCGGGGCGTCTCCTCTTCTTTTAAAATGGGTACAAGGATACCCATCTCATAGAATTGCAAGTAATAAGTGAGATAATGATTGTTCAGTATAATTGCAAGTAATAAACGAGATAATGATTATTCTGTGTTTAGCATATTACCTGGCACACTATGGACATGCAGTAAGTCATACATTTATGTTTAATTATATATATTTAGAGAGAGAGAGATCGATGTGAGAGAGAAACATCCATCAGCTGCCTCCTGAATCCACCCCGACGGGGATCAAACCTGCAACCTGGGTATGTGCCCTGGCCTTTTGGGGTACAGGATGATACCCCAACCAACCAAGCCACACAGGCCGGAGCATGTCTAGTTCTATTTTATATTAGTATAAACGGGCTGATTTCTCAGGTTACATTCTGCCAGTCTCGTCTTTCTCCCTTGGTGAAATAACGGAGCTCAGAGATGGCTGGGTACAGGGGAGTTTGGAGTCCCTGGCGTTTTGGTGGCACCTACCAGGACATATCAGCAGAAAAGATTTCAGGCTGAAGCAACAACATCAGAGGGACCTCCCATGAGGAATTCCATTACGGTCTTCGAACGGCGGTTTCCTTCCAGTACCCAGTCATGCGTTTGTGTCTTTGAAGAGCTTGAACTGGATATATTAGCATATGACCCGCCGGTGCCAGGGGGCGGCTTTATCTTGCACAGACAGAACATTCAGCAACAAGAATGCGGCGGCCAGGCAGATGAGCCTGGCTGTCCTCCGATGTTCCCGAGCGAATGATTGTACACTGAACTCGTTTTTCCTGTGCTTCTGTAGCTCATGGACCAGTATGTGGTTTAAAAAAAGATATGAGGAGCCCAGCTGGTGTGGCTCAGTGGTCGAACGTTGACCCTGCACCAAGAGGTCGCCGGTTCAATTCCTGGTCAGGGCACATGCCCAGGTTGTGGGCCTGATCCCCAGTGAGGGGCTTGTAGGGGGCACCCAATTGATGTTCTCTCTCTCTCTCCCTCCCCCTTCCACTCTTTCTAAAGTCAATAAAGAAAAAAATTTTTTTTAATTTAAAAAACAAACAAACAACGATATGAGGCTATTTCACTGGAAATGTGAGACAGCTCCTTTTATTGAGCACGTACTAGGAGCCAGGCAGCCTGTAGCCGCTTTGTGCCTGCCCCGGCCGGTGCTCAGGACAGCTCTGCAGGCCAGGGGTGCCGGCCTGCTTCTCCAAGGGAAGCCGAGGCTCAGAGAGGTGGTGAGCTCCGTAGAGCGGGTCCCCAGCCGTGCTGTCCTTTGTAGTTTGCAGACGGAGTCATCTTACTCTTGCTGATTGGACAGCTGGAAGGCTTCTTCCTGCACCTGAAGGAATTCTACCTCACTCCCAACTCTCCTGCGGAAATGGTAAGTTTCCAAAGACATTCCCTGATGGTTGGCCTCTGAGTGGGCAGATCTGTGGAAACGGCACAACCGGTCTGTACTTATTCACCCCCAGGTGAAGTGAAGGGAGAGGAAGATGTTGGTTTGCCCTTTGTCTGCTCATCTGTGCGCCCATTTACCCTTTCACCTGCCACCCATTCATCCTCCCATCCATCCATCCATCCATCCATTCATCTACCTATCCATCCATCCATCCATCCATCCATCCATCCATCCATCATCCATCCATCCATCCATCATCCATCCATCCATCATCCACCCACCTATCCATCCATCCATCCATCCATCCACCCACCCACCTATCCATCCATCCATCCATCCATCATCCACCCACCTATCAATCCATCCATCCATCCATCCATCCATCCATCCATCCATTCATCTACCTATCCATCCATCCATCCATCCATCCATCCATCCATCATCCATCCATCCATCCATCATCCATCCATCCATCCATCATCCACCCACCTATCCATCCATCCATCCACCCACCCACCTATCCATCCATCCATCCATCCATCCATCCATCCATCCATCCATCCATTCATCTACCTATCCATCCATCCATCCATCTATCCATCCATCCATTCATCCTCCCATCCACCCATCCATCCATCCATCCATCCATCCACCCACCCACCTATCCATCCATCCATCCATCCATCCATTCATCTACCTATCCATCCATCCATCCATCCATCCATCCATCCATCCATCATCCATCCATCCATCATCCACCCACCTATCCATCCATCCATCCATCCATCCATCATCCATCCATCCATCCATCATCCATCCATCCATCCATCCATCCATCATCCATCCATCCATCCATCCATCCACCCACCTATCCATCCATCCATCATCCATCCATCCATCATCCATCCATCCATCCATCATCCATCTATCATCCATCCATCCATCCATCCATCATCCATCCATCATCCATCCATCCATCCATCATCCATCCATCATCCATCCATTCATCCATCCATCCATCCACCTATCCATCCATCCACCCACATATCCATCCATCCATCCACCTATCCATCATCCATCCATCCATCCATCCATCCATCCATCCATCCATCCATCCATTCATCTTTCCACCTATCCATCCATCCACCTATCCATCCATCTATCATCCATCCATCCATCCATCATCCATCCATCCATCCATCCATTCATCCATCCACCTATCCATCCATCCACCTATCCATCCATCTATCATCCATCCATCCATCCATCCATCATCCATCCATCCATCCATCCATCCATCCACCTATCCATCCATCACCTATCCATCCATCCATCATCCATCCATCATCCATCCATCCATCCATCATCCATCCATCCACCTATCCATCCACCCACCTATCCATCCATCCACCATCCATCCATCCATCCATCCTCCCATCCACCCATCCATCCATCCATCCATCCACCCACCCACCTATCCATCCATCCATCCATCCATCCATCCACCCACCCACCTATCCTCCATCCATCCATCCATCCATCCATCCATCATCCATCATCATCCATCCATCCATCCATCCATCATCCATCCATCCATCATCCATCCATCCATCCATCCATCCATCATCCATCCATCCATCATCCATCCATCCATCCATCATCCCTCCATCATCCATCCATCCATCCATCCATCCATCCACCTATCCATCCATCCACCCACCTATCCATCATCCATCCATCCATCATCCATCCATCCATCATCCATCCATCATCCATCCATTCATCTTTCCACCTATCCATCCATCTATCATCCATCCATCCATCCATCATCCATCCATCCACCATCCATCCACCTATCCATCCATCCACCTATCCATCCATCCATCATCCACCCATCATCCATCCATCCATCCATCCACCTATCCATCCATCCATCATCCATCCACCTATCCATCCATCCATCCATCCATCCATCCATCCATCATCCATCCATCCATCCATCATCCATCCATCATCCATCCATCCATCCATCCATCCATCCATCCATCCACCTATCCATCCATCCATCCATCCATCCATCCATCCATCCATCCATCCATTCATCCTCCCATCCATCCATCCATCCATCCATCCATCTATCCATCCATCCATCCATTCATCTACCTATCCATCCATCCATCCATCCATCCATCCAGCCATCCATTCATCCATCCATCATCCATCCATCCATCCATCCACCTATCCATCCATCCACTATCCATCCATCCCATCATCCATCCATCACCATCATCCATCCATCATCCATCCATCCATCCATCATCCATCCATCCATCCATCCTCCACCTCCATCCATCCATCATCCATCCATCCATCATCCAACCATCCATCCATCCATCCATCCATCATCCATCATCCATCCATCCATCCATCCATCCATCCATCCACCTATCCATCCATCTATCATCCATCCATCCATCCATCCATCTATCATCCATCCATCCATCCATCCACCATCCATCCATCCACCTATCCATCCATCCATCATCCATCCATCCATCATCCATCCATCCATCCATCCATCCATCCATCCATCCATCCATCCATCCATCTATCATCCATCCATCCATCCATCCATCCATCATCCATCCATCATCCATCCATCCATCCACCCATCCATCCATCCATCATCCACCCATCATCCATCCATCCACCATCCATCCATCCATCCATCCATCCATCCATCCATCCATCATCATCCATCCATCCATCCATCCATCATCCATCCCTCCATCCATCCACCTATCCATCCATCCACCCACCTATCCATCCATTCATCCATCCATCCATCCATCCATCCATCCACCTATCCATCCATCCACCTATCCATCCATCCATCATCCATCCATCATCCATCATCCATCCATCCATCCATCCATCATCCATCCATCCATCCATCATCCATCCATCCATCCATCCACCTATCCATCCATCTATCATCCATCCATCCATCCATCCATCTATCATCCATCCATCATCCATCCACCTATCCATCCATCCACCTATCCATCCATCCATCCATCATCCATCCATCATCCATCCATCCATCCATCCATCCATCATCCATCCATCCATCCATCCACCTATCCATCCATCCACCTATCCATCCATCTATCATCCATCCATCCATCCATCCATCCATCCATCATCCATCCATCATCCATCCATCCATCCACCCATCCATCCATCCATCATCCACCCATCATCCATCCATCCATCCACCTATCCATCCATCCATCCATCCATCCATCATCCATCCATCATCCATCCATCCATCCATCCATCCTTCCATCCATCATCCATCCATCATCCATCCATCATCCATCCATCCATCCATCCATCCATCTACCCACCCACCTACCCATCCACCATGCACTGACTCCTGCTTGGTGTCAGACCCTGTGCTGTGTGGGCCATAAAGATGACCCAGTACAGCTCCTGCTTTTGCAGCCTCTCAGCCCACACCCACTGAGCTCTCAGAGATGTATGGTTTTCCTGGGCCACGATGGGTGGTCACTGTGGAAGGGTCGCCGTGGGATCTAAAGGAAAGAGTGGTTAGTAAAGTCTGAAGAAATCAGGAAAGACATTGCAGAAGAGGAGGCCCATGGAGTGAGTTAGGGTTTGGTCTGCAGAGTTAACTGGGCAGGGCACCCCGAGATGAGGGGCAGTGTGAACCAAGGCTCCGCTGTGGACAAAGGCACAAACACTTCCGGGCGGTGTCCTTGGGTCGCCCCTGCTGCAAGGGCTGGCTGGGCGGCCAGGACTTCCCCAGCCGGCCCTGGAAGCTGAAAGAGGGCTCTCAGACCTGGGGGAGGGGCGTGGAGAGAAGGACTATGTGGGGGGCGGGGGGGGCGGAGCCTGGGAAACAGTCTGACAGCCTGAGTGCCCTGTGTGTTCCCGCCTCCCTCCCTGCTCCGCGACCTGCCCTCTGCCACCCAGTAGTTCTCTAAGTTCAGGCCACTGTCCCGCCTCTGGGCTTTTGCACAGGCTGCTCCCCTGCCAGAAACGCCCTTTCCACGTGAAATGCCTGCGAGTGAGAACAGAAAAGGGAGGCCACCGGGGTGACTGGTGCTCGGCTCCCTGCAGGGTGGGCGTGGCAGGAAGGAGAGGCCCAGCCGCCCTGCACCTCAGGCTCGAGTCTCTAACACGGGCTCAAAGACCCTGCCCTGCACACCCCCATCACAGGTGACAAGAGTGTGGAGAATCCTGGGGGGTGGAAGCGTCGAGGGGCATGTGGCCCCTGGTCTCCTGCCCTGCCCAGGGCCCAGCCAGAGTCCCCATGCGTGAGTGGAGGTGATGCTGCAGGTAGGGCCTGGCTGGCACACTGGATGCTGGCGGTCTGCCCGGAACCCCAGGTGGCCAGCTTATCTCTGTCACACCAGGGTCCCTGTGGCCTGCTCAGGGTCAACCAGGGCAGGAGGGCCACCCCCTTTCTCTGCAGCAGCGGTTTTTCTGAAGAGGAGGAACTCCAGCAGGGCTGGGGGCCTGTGCCCAGGGCCAGCCTTGGGCCATTTCTGGGAGGACGAACAGTTTCTGCCCCCTTTGAGGTCCCTGTGTGTCCCTGTGGAGGGCGAGAAGCCCTGCCCGGGGTCTGGACCAGATGTCATAGCCTGTCCGGGAGCCATGAGGCTTCACACCCTTGACCTGGGCCCAGTTCCAGGCCCCCAGCTGGGCCCTTCATCCAGGTCCCTTCCTCAGCCCCTCCCCCTCACATGGGGGCCTACAGTTCAGCCCTCTGCACCACGGGGACCCACCTTTAGTGGGCGTGGTCTCCATCACCCCAGGAGCAGGGTGCTCGGACCAGGTTGGTCCCCACAGGCCGGAGCAGTGCGGGGCGTGTGGTTCCGGGTGGCGTAGGAGCAGCAGGACTGGTACCGGGTTCTCACCCAGTACCAGTGCGCCGTGGTTCCGTATAACACAGAGCGCCGTGTAACAAGCCACCGAACCTCTGGGAGCTCACAACCACCAGTTTCATTCACCTTCCTGGATCTGCAGGTGGGCTGGTTTGGTCTGGGCTCAGCTGGGCTCCCTCTGCTTCCGGGGCTCGGCTGGAACAAACCCTGAGCTGGGCTCGGCTGGGGCGGTTCAGCTCTGTGCCCGCGCCTGGCGTGGTTCCCTCAGAGCATTGGCAGGGGCACGAGAGGCCAAGGGGAACCCGAGGCCTGGGCTCAGAACTGGGGTGCGGTCATGGCTTCATCCTGTCAGCCTTGGTGGGGATACAGAAGAGCCCTGCAAAGTGTGGGTGCAGAGAGGGGTGCCGAACCGAGGCCAGCGAGGTGACCTCCCTCGGGCATTGTGCACGACCTTGCCAATTCCCCCTGGAGTGGGGCCTCCGGCTTAGGAGCGGTTCCACTCCCCTTTCCATTGGCGGAAACTGTTCAGAGAGGTACGGTGATCTGGTCAAGAACACACAGCTTGTTGGGTAGAGGTCAGAATGGGGTCCAGCCTTGTCTGTCTCCAAAGCCAGAGCGGCCTCCTTGCTCGCTTCCTTCCTGGGGAGTCGGTGAGAGCCCGGAGGGAGACAGAGGCCCCCAAGCTGCGGGACAGTGCAGGGCTTCGGAGGGTCGAAGCTGAGGCCGGACCGTGGTGCTGCTCCTGTATCCAGGAGACAGGACGCTGACCTGTGAGCACCGAGAGAAGGGGAGGGAGGGGCAAGGCAGGGTGCCTGCAGCCTGGGGTCCAGCACAGCAGAGGTCCCCTCTTTGTGGGCGTTGATGGGACATCAGGCCCACGCTCAATATTTCCCCGCTTCCAACCCTCAGTTACAAGCCAGGGACAAACGTCCCTGGGCAGCCTGCTTGCCGAATCCACCGATTTTAGAACCAACCTGAGCCGCAGTAACTGGGGGAAAAGTCCGTCCTTAGCTCTGCCCCGGAACGCACTTACTGAAGCCTGGGCTGCAGGATGGATGATAAGACGCAGAGGGGGCAGTGGAGGAGGCCGGATCAGCAGCCCTCCCGAAGGCGGGGCGCGGGGCACTGTTCTCCCGCAGAGTGGCCTCTCGCAGCTGGGTGGCCGCAACCAGACATTTCTTGCTAATGGTGTTTGAGGAGGTTGCCATTTGTCGCGGGAAGAGGCGGTAGGGGTGGAGGGAGAGCCGATCCTATGTTCCGCTGCAACCAGAACACCGGAGACAGGACCTTTCACTTCCTCCCACATTCAATTATTTCTCCCCGGAGGATCTGGGCGCATCCTCCCGGGTCACGAACCACCTCCCCCCCCACTCCGTGGAACAGCATTTTCTCCTGCATCGTCTCCAACCGTGCGTGAAAGGGACACAGTGCTCCGGGCAGCGTGTGGTGAGACGTTCCGGAGCCGGGGCAGCTCCTCCTGGTTCAGACTGAGCGTCGCCGAGGAGAGTGACAAACAGAAGCGGGGGTGACCGTGTCCAGGGTGTCCATAGCAGCTCTGCTCCGAGCACAAGCTCACGGGGCCGAGGGTGCCTGCTCTGCTCCGCTCGTGGCCCGCGCGTGGTTCACGCTCCACCAATGTTTTAATTTTTGTTGTTGTGGCTGTTAATCCTCACCGGAGGATACTTTGTTTTATTGATTTTTAGAGGGAGAGAAGGAGGGGGTGAGAGAGAGAAAGAAACATCGATGTGAGAGAGACACATCGATTGGTTGCCTCTCGCTCGAGTCCTGACCGGGGCTAGGGATCGAACCTGCAACCCAGATATGTGCCCTTGACCAGGAAGCGAACCTCGGACCCTTTGGTGAGTGGACGGACGCTCTAACCACTGAGCTCACCAGCCAGGACTCCATCCACCTCTCAGCAATAAGTCAATGTACGAAGTATTTCTGAAACACTGGTCTCACGGATCCTGCGGTCAAATAGATCGGGAAAACGTGCAGAGTCTTGAAAGTTCATGATACACCATAACATATTCAAGGCTCTGATAAGTCCTGCAGCAAAGGATTTCCATATTACTCTGTTCAACCGACATTTCCCCAAACGCCTTGGTCACACTCTCCCGTCTCTACCCTGGATGGTGCTCTCGGAGGCAGGGGAGCACGGTGGCTCCTTCTCACGCTGACGGTGGCTTTCTGTGCACGCCGTGACTAGCGTTCATGAGAACGTGGACAGCAGCGACGCAGACAACCCTCACTTCCCAGAACGTCCCAGTCTGGGGAGAAGACTTGGGGGCAGGGTTCAGGGCCAGTGGTGCGGCTCGGATCTGCTCACCGAGATGCCCTTCCATCCCCACTTGGGACCCTGTGGCAGCGTTTGTTCTGTCTTCATGACTGACGTGGAGGGGCAGCCCTGCTGGCCGGTGACCCCACCTCCCACCCTCTCTTGCATCCTGGACCTTCTCCGACTCAGCTGCTCTGTCCATCCGATGCTCCGACATCAACTGTCCCTAATGGGGGGGACCTGCTCACTCTGCCTTCCGGATCCCAAGGAGGGGCTGCCTCGTGCCCCTCAGTCAGCTGCCAGGGAGGACGGCAGCCCCTGGCCTCAGGACACAGCAGGAGTCCTTGGGGGGGCGAAAGATACTCCCCCAACTCTGCCCGGTGCCCAGGGACCAGGACTGTGACCTCCACTCTTATCTCCCCCAGAAGAGCTCTTTCTGGGGGCTCTGCGCCCTCCGACACATCCTGTGTCTCCACTGTGAGCCTTCAGATCATGTCCTGTGCCTTCATTCCGGTCCATCGCCACCTTTGACCCTCACACAGCCTGGGGGCACAGGCGGGGAGATGAGGGGGCTGAGGCCCAGCCAGCATGTGGGACTTGTCTGACCTGTGACCTTTGACCTGGTGGGGGTTATGCACAGACATCCCACCCAGATCTCAAGATTCGTCCTGCCCAGACCCACCAGATGACCAGGCAGCCTTGGCAGGGCTGGCTCCCACCCAACTGGGCCCCTCCTGGGTTGCCGTAGGAACTGCCTGGCGTGTGTGATCGGCCGTGGGGCGGGGGTGGCTGGTGTGGGGCGGGGGTGGCTGGTGTGGGGCGGGGATGGCTGGTGTGGGGTCGGGGTGGCTGGTGTGGGGGGGGGATGGCTGGTGTGGGGTCGGGGTGGCTGGTGTGGGGTCGGGGTGGCTGGTGTGGGGCGGGGATGGCTGGTGTGGGGCGGGGGTGGCTGGTGTGGGGCGGGGGTGGCTGGTCATCAGGCTGGGATGTCCGGCCCCACAGTGCACCTTTGGGCGGTGGGGACCGTTGGAGGAAGGACCTGCTGGAGGTCACAGGGAATCAGGGGTCCAGCCAGCTTTGACCTTGCTGTCCCACTTCACCCCACACCCTCTCTCCGCTGTCCCACTCAGAAGGGTGGGCTCTCCGGTTGTATGCGAGGCCCAAGGGAGAGGCCAGATGTGGAAAGGGAGGGACCACCCCTGACAGAGGGTCTGCTCTGAGCCCCGTAGGTGGCGGGGTCACCACTCTGCAGGTGAGCAAGGGGAGGCCGGGGCCAAGCGGCTTGCTCGAGGTTACCCCGTGACCAAGCCAGAATTAAGGCCCCAGGGGCCCTGGGCAGGGGGCTCTTCCAGCCTCCAGCCCCGCTTGTGAATCTCAGCTGGTTGGGAGGGGATCTGTCCCCCACAGGGTCAGGGGCTACCTCAGAACAGGTCAAGATGGACCCACGTTCCTGCCCCTGGCTAAGTCCCCTCGCTTGGCGAACTTACGTCCAGGTGTCACCTCCACCAGGAAGCCTTCCCTGACCCCCAGGCTGGGTGCCCTCCTCAGTGACTGCATTCCCACTAGAGGCGGCCTCCTTGATGCGTGATGGGCATCGTGGGTGAGGCGTGGGCCTGTCCTGGGGGGCCCGGGGCCTGGATTGGGGCTGCCTCAATTTGCCAGCATCTGCGGGGTCTTGTCGTTGTAGCTGCACAATGTCACGCTGGCCCTAGAGCTGCTGAGGGACGAAGGCCTGCTCAGCTACCCGGTCAGCCCTGAAGGTGAGTGCTCGGGACATGGGGCGGGGCCGTGCCTGGGCAGAGCGGGGTGCGGCGGGGGGGGGGGGGCAGTGGAGCCGGTGCGCCTCCTGCTGGTGTGGGTGGACAGTGAGCGTCTGCCAAGGCTTCCTGCCGCCCACTCCGTGGTGGAGGGTCCCGGGGAGAGGAGATGGGGCCTGGTCCCTGGGGACGGGCTGTCGGGAGAGGCGAGACCTTCAGCAGCTTCTGCACCACGAGAGGAGGGCTGGGCGGGGAGGGAGGCAGGGCCGTGCGACGGGTCCGGGGACTCAGGCCGGACGTGACCAGTGGCCTGGCTGGCCAGGGGTCTGGGGTTGGTGCTGAAGGCCCGTGCCGGAGACCCCTGGGCCCAGGCCCACCGGGAGGCCGGGCCGGGCCCGCAGGCTGACGGGCTCTCTCTGGCGCAGACATCGTGAACAAGGACAGCAAGAGCACACTGCGCGTCCTCTACAGCCTGTTCCGCAAGCACAGCTGAGAGGGGCCTCCGACAGCGTGCCCGGACCCCAAGTCAGCCGCCACTGCCCCCCGCGCTGCCTCTCAGCCGCTTCCCTGGGCCCAGCTGCAGCCCCGTCCCCCACCCACCTCCTATTTCTGTCTGTCCAGCCTCTCTGAGCCCACGAGGTGCGCGTCCACCTGGAGCCAACCTCTGGCCTCGCTCAGTCTGTGTGACAAATGTGTTTCTGGGAGGGATTTGGGGAGCCTGCCAGGGTCCTGGGAAGGGCCATTAAATATGCATGAAATGAGCTGACCCCCACCCGCAGTCTCCCTCCCCGTGGGCTGGGTGCGGGAGGTGTGGCCTCTTGTCTCTGAGGGCACCCCTGGAGCAGCCAGAGCCCGGCCATGTGACCTTCAGTCAGGTCTGAGGGTCTGGCTCTGCGGGCAGAGGGGTTCTGGGGTGTCAGGGCCCTGGCAGAGGCCCCGGCGGCCACACTCAGCTGCTGCTTCCTGGGGGCAGCCCCAGGGTCCCCGTCCACTGCCAGGAGCCCGCGTGTCTCCAAACCCATGTCCCGAGCGCCTCCGGGACGTTAACTCAGCCGCTTGCCAGAGGCCCAGGCCCGGGCCCACCCCGTGGCTAACAGCATGAGCTTTGCCCAGGTCACACCGAAGAAGTCTCTGATTGGTCAGCGGCTCAGATTGTCACCCAGTCTGTCCCCGGGGAGGCGTCGGAGGCTCTGGGTCCTGGCGTTGCTGGCCTTCTGACCTTCTTGCTGGCCCTGATGTGTCCCCCACCCCACCCCCACCTCTCCACTCCAAAGGCTGCCCTGTGCTCTTTCAGGATTTTCTGACGCTGTCGCCCTGCCCAAAGGTCTCGTCCCACCCACCCCAGGACCTGTCACTCACAGGAGAAGGGGGACATCCTTGAGGAGAGAATGGAGGAGGGATAGGGGGATCCTGGTGGGGGGAGGGGCTCCCACAAAGGAGACTGAGGAGGGGACAGGACGCCCTCCCTCCATCAGCCCACCATCCACACCCCGGCCATTGGGTCTCCCTCTCCTCCACCCCAAGAAACCTGACTCCAGCTGCAGTTGCCGCACTAGCTGAAGCAGGATATTTCTAGTGGCCTGAACTGGCGGGTGCCCAGGGCCCGGGAAGGAGCTGGCAGGCTTGGGCTGGGTGTGCAAACAGCTCCGGAGTGACGGGAAATGCCTCGAAGGCGGAGGTGCCTCAGAGTTGAGCCGCTTCCCAAAATAATCCAGGGGCAGCTGTCTCGGATTCTGAAACTGGGTCTGGCTGCCGGAGCTGCGGGAAGCCCCAGGCCCCACAGCGGCCCCGCTCCGGGAGCAGATGGCACGAGGAATATTTTTTTCTTTTACCAAAGTCAGCTGGTAAGCGAGCAGCTTGTCTAGAGAAAAGTGTGTTCCTCCCCCTCTCTCTGTGGTTACAGTTCAAAGCTGCCACCTCCCCTCCCCCGTCCCCTGTAAGACTGGGCAGCCGAGGCAGAGGGCGTCACCAGCCTTTCTCACTGCAGAGCACAGGGTCCTCACACACTGGCGGGCTTGCCCCAGGGGGCACCAGGCCCCTGGGTTCATGGGGGCCTGGGCTGAGCCAGGGCAGCAGACTCTGGGAGGCCGGGTTGATGGGAAAGGGACAATGGGGACAGCCCAGAAATGATCCTTCCAGAAAGAGCCAGCCAAGTGACCCGGGCAGACCCACGGTTGCGTGAATTCACTCATCTATCCATGAGCATCTCAAATCGATGAGCAGGCTTATTGCCCATAAGGCACCATGGCAGCCGGGCTCTCACGTCTGCACACATCCTTGCACACAAGCCAATCCTCACGGACCTTCCCCGCGCACCCGCCGTGTGCAGACCCTGGGCTTGGAGCTGAGGACCTGGAGGCAGCTGGGGAGGCTCAGACCTGGGCGCTCACAGGCCGCCCTGGTGGACGGTGCAGGGAGGTGAGGTGCCTGAGTGTGAATCTGGAGCGCGAACCCCGGGGGGTATCCGCTCCTTGCTCTGTGACCCTGGGTGAATCACTTACCTGCCTGTGCCTCAGTTTCCTTCTCTGTCCCGTGGAGGCAACAGGAGTCTACTCTTTGCAGGATTATTATGATAGTTAGGAAAGAGAACCATCTAAAGTGCTGAAAACATTGCTGGTCACATAGCATTCAATCATGTTGGATGACATCACCATCACCATCATCACCACCATCACCACCATTACCATCATCATCAACACGACCATCACCATCATCATCAACACCACCATCACCACCATTACCATCATCGTCAACACCACCATCACCATCATTACCATCACCACCAACACCACCATCACCACCAACACCACCATCATCAACACCACCATCACCACCATTACCATCATCATCAACACCACCACCACCATTACCATCATCATCAACACCACCATCACCACCATTACCATCATCGTCAACACCACCATCACCATCATTACCATCACCACCAACACCACCATCACCACCAACACCACCATCACCACCAACACCACCATCATCAACACCACCATCACCACCATTACCATCATCATCAACACCACCACCACCATTACCATCATCATCAACACCACCATCACCACCATTACCATCATCATCAACACCACCATCACCACCATTACCATCATCATCAACACCACCACCACCATTACCATCATCAACACCACCATCACCATTACCATTATCATCAACACCACCATCACCACCATTACCATCATCGTCAACACCACCATCACCAACACCATCACCATCATCTCCATCATCACCACCACCATCACCAACACCACCATTTTCATCATCACCATCACCATCACCGCCATCACCATCTTCATCATCATCACTATCACCATCTCCATCACCACCATCACTACACTTACAAAAATAGAACTAGAAGCTCCTCCCTTGTGGGTCCTGGTGAGAACGTGATGTGAGGTCAGGGCCCCGGTACACAGTAGGAGCTCAGGGGTAGGCACTACACAGCCTGCTCGTCAGGTGAACCCTAGCTGGATTTTGCATGTCCCTTTTCCCCAGTCTCTGCTTGTGGAACCCACACCGCTCCCAGTGCACCGGAGGCTCTGGGTAAGTAGTTGCTGGCAGTGACTGCTTGGCTCTCCCGGGGGTGGCCCATCCAGGCCTGCTGCCTTGACTTGAGCCCGCCCAGCTGGCCTGAACCCACCCTGACACCCCAGGACACCAGCGTTGAAGCCCTGGATTCATGCTCTGACCTCTGGCTGGTTCCCTCTCCCACTGAACCGGGCCAGTAGTTCACCAGCTCAGCTGAAAACGCAGAGGCAGATGGAGGGGCTCCAGCTCCAGGGTCCCTCCCCATCCCTTGTCGTGGGAAGTCCTGGGCTCCGATCCCGCTGGGCCTCCTACAGCTGCGTGGTCTTGGGGAAGTCACTGCCCTTCTCTGAGAGTGTGTTTCCTCTGAATCCCCAGAGCGCATGGCTGGGCCCGCTGCCCGCTCCAGGTGAGGACACTGTGGAAGCTTTGGGCCCAAACACCTGGGCCCGGTGTTAGTGAGACAAAGCTGTGCTGGAAGAGCCGAGTCTCGGGACCCCGGGGCTAGAACATTCTGCAACTTCTTCCCAGTGGAGCCCCTTGCTCCCCTTTCTTCTTCTCCACCTGCCCAGCCCGGGGGCCTGCACAGCTGGTCAAGCCCCTCACCCCCCCGACACCACACCTGGCAAAGTGGGGAACGGCTTTAAAGGCGGGCATCTGGGTTCACATCCCCACCCCGCCCGTTGTCTGCTGGCGGCCTTGGGGGAGGGGCTGGATTTCAGGAGTCGATGTTTCCTCCTGGTGAGGGGGCGTTACCCGAGCCCACGCCCATCGTCCGGCCTGCCTGGCACTGCTGATGGACCGAGTACGGCTGCTCTGTGAGCCCCGAGCGTCTCACAGCAGGACAGCCGGGCTCTGAGTGTCCCGGGAGGAAGCTGGTGGCCTTTGGCAACCCAAACGGGAAGTCACCGCCAGGGCTTTCCTGGGCCCTGTGACAACCCGTCGCACTCTGCTGCGGACTTGGCCACGGAGGGCTTGAGACGTGAGCAGCAGCGTGCTCGGGCGAGGCCGGGACCGGGCCCCGAGGAGATGTCTTCCAGCCCAGACAGACCACGCTGGCTAGTCAGAGGGGAAGGAGCCCGGGCAGGCCCACGCACAGCTGGCGGGTCAGGCTGGCCCCGATGGGTGGACAACCCGGCCCTCTCTTGAGTGCAGACAGAAAATCTTTGAAACGCATCTCTCTGTGACAGCATGGCTTCTCCGGGGCAGGAAGCCGGCCAGGCTGGCTCGGAGGGCTCTGGGCTTTCGGCTCTGGGCTTTCTCCTCCGGGCACAGCAGCCCTGGCGAGTGTGCGGGCAGAGCCTGGGCTGCCCTGCCCGGCGGGGCGGCAGGGGCCAGCTCCTCCAGCCCACTCCAGGACGTGGTCTGACAAAGGCTTTGTGAATGTGTTTCTGGGAAAATCTTACACATGTGTGAAATCCCTGCAACACAGCTACACATTTTACAAGCTGCTTCTGTTGATAAGAATACAATTATGTATAAGAAACATCAGGCCCGCCCTGGCCAGTTTGGTTCAGCGGTTAGAGCGTCGGCCCGCGGACCAGAGAGACCCGGGTTCGGTTCCCGCTAAGGGCACGTACCTCGGTTGCAGTTTGTCTCCAGTCCCGGTTGGGGTCGTGTGGGTGGCAGCCAGTTGATGTGTCTCTCTCACATCAATGTTTCTCTCTCTCTTCCTCCTTCTCTCCCTCCCACTCTACCTGAAAATAAATGCAAAAATGTCCTCGGGTGAGGATAAAAAGAAAAAAAGGCCTAGCCGGTGTGGCTCAGTGGTTGAGCTTCGACCCAGGCACCAAGAGGTCGCCGGTTTGATTCCCGGTCAGGGCACATGCCCAGGTTGTGGGCCAAATTCCCAGTGGGGGGCGTGCGGGAGGCGGCCAGTCGATATTCTCTCTCATTGATGTTTCTATTTCTCTCTCTCCCTTTCTCTTCCTCTCTCTCTCTAAAATCAATAAAGAAAAAAACAACAACATCAGATTCAGGCAAAAATACCTGCAGATGGCACTCGTCATTTTGGAGACTTACTGTTTCGGCCAAGGGCACTTGGTCTACTGAGTGCTGACTCCCGGCTGTGTGCGTTGTAAATACTGTTTGAATCCTCGCGATACCTTCAACGGGAGCTTTCGCACGCTCCTTCGACAGGGGCCCAGAGAGGCTGATAACTTGCTGTGGGCCACACAGCACACGACCCAGCGGGGCTGGGAGACGCAAGTGTGACGGC